AAAAACTCACATTCTGTGTGTGTGTGTGTGTGTGTGTGTGACTCTGTGAACATCAGCTTGCCGAACAGCCGGGACACGCCATGGGATGCCATGCCCCCCGGCATTTCGAAGTCGTTGCAAGTGGCGCCGCTGTCACAGTTTGATGATGAGCAATCTTCAGATGAAGAAAGCCAGTACGCTTCCGATTTGCGGATGGTTTGTGAGCTGCCGCCGGTTCTGGAAACCAGGGCATCTGCACAGGTGGTCAAAGCTGTTGGCAGTGCAATACACAGGTCAGAAGGGCAGCTAAGCTTTTGCAGCGTTGACCGGTTGCACGTAGCGCTATTGCTTCGCATATAAGTGCCACAGAAATTGCATCTTGGATAGTAGGGTTCCCTCGTACTTGCTTCCAACCTTGCATACCTGTATACTCCTGCATGATCCTACCCGTCCTACCACCTACCACATAGTTATTCTTGCATATTCCTGTAGATTCCCGTATGCTCCTGTCAGGGTGGGCTCCCGATTCGGGATGTGTGATGTTGGCTTGTCTCCAGTCCCTGAGCACTCGGAGCACTCGGAGCACCCGGATCACCCTGAGCAGCCGGAGCCGTCTCCGGAAGCCCCAAAAACATTGAGGAGGCAAGACATGGAAGAAAACATGGGGAAACATGGTGAGACATGCTGGGTAGGACGAGTGTGGGGCGATGCTGCGATGCTAGGTTCAATACAGTTCAGGGCAGCGGCGTTTTGTCCAGGCGAACTGCGACAACAGGTAACCTCAGTGAGTTGCATGCGCGGCCCAAGAAGCTGCACGGCATGAGAGGACACTGCTGGCTGTGACTGGTGGTCGGTTGTTGTGATTGAGCTTGGCCTTCAGCTGTCTGTTGCTGGCTTTCAAAGCCCAGGCTGATCCGCCGACGCAGCCTGGATCTGGATTGTCCCGTGTCGGCTCTCACAGCCATTTCGAACAGGGGTCTTGGCGCAAAGCTCTCACAGAGTGGACTGAAGTTGGACTCATTGGACAGAGCCTTGGATTTGGCAGTTGCAGCCTGTCACACTCTGCCATGTGTAAGGCGATTATCACACATCTAAAAATATGCGGGATGCCCATCCAAAACGAAACTGTGGGACTGACGGGATGGCAGAGTCCTGCGTGGTCCAGATTGTCCGAAGCCGAAAATGCTCATGCGCCATTTGCGACAAGAATCTGCATCGCAACTTTTCATTTGGGCCGCCACTGTCACTGTTCTGGTTGTACGAGAAAGTCTCTGTACTGTGGTAAGCGCGCCGAGGTTCATTTGTGTTGAGTGCTCGTTTCGTTCGGCCATGGAGAGCAGAGGTCAGGGGCAGACGGGTGTTGCACTGACGCTGTTAACTTTTCAGTTTGCAATGTAAAGAAGAGAAAATCATACACAGAGAGAGATTCGTGCATGAAGTTGAAATATTTTGAATACAGGAAAACGGCATCATTTTGAGGGGTTCGAGGTTATCCTCTTTTCTGTGTTGGCGAGGCTTCCTTTTTGATTTGCTTTTTTTGTGTGTTTTGCCATGTCAGCCGCTGAATCAAAGTTGTTGATGGTGTTTTTTTTTGATTTTTCGCCTTGCTGAGTTTGGAGGAGGTCAGCCGAGCTCTCCGCAGTCCTCCACAATGCAAGACCTTGGGCTACCTCTCATCTTCAGGCGGAGCAGCCATTCTCTGATGCATCTCAACAGGATGTCCAGCAAAAAGAACTTCAGTTTGACCGGGCTGCCCTCCACTCCGCAGATTGTCCAAGACAGCCTGCGTCAGGAGGGTGCAAAAACAAGAGCATCCATTCTGGATTTCGAACATCTGTTTGTGCAATACTTTGTTGAGGCTCCTTGACTTGCACAGAAACGTTTCTGCAATTTTCTGGATGTTTGTAGCCTGCGCAGTGGGAGTGCGTCATTAGAGCATTCATAGGCCCCATCTCCATGCTGAGTCCAGGTCCTGCCACGACGTGAACGCCTTGCTGGGAGCAGAGCTGAACGTGGGAGCTCCTTTCGCCTTTCTCAGCCTTCCGCATGGGAAGTTGCCCAAGCTTGGAAGGAAGTGTTTCTTGACCTTATGATGCAGCACAAGGCTTTGATTGTGCAGCACTGGCCGGAGCTTCAACTCACCAGGAAGGGACTAGAAAGGCGGCTAAGCGAAGAACTGGCCGTCAAGGACGAATTGTCCGGTCCGAAGAGTCGTGTGTTGCTGACGCTGGCGCCAGAGCAAGTATGCCATCGACTGTTATGGGCATTGGGTGATAGCATCCCGACTGAAGTGGCACTTAAGGAATGTGAGAGCAAGTTGCAACAACGATTCCCGCAGAGCCATGTGCGTTGCAGCGACCACTGGCTGCGGCCTGCAAGTGTGATTCGCACACTTTTTGGTATCACCTCTCTGTTGCTGATCCTGGGCCTGCGTGCTGCAATCCTCGCCGCTTGGAATGTATACGATGCCGAGCCACCAATACCGGGAAAGAAGCGGAAAGTGGACCTGTGTGGTCCAACCTGGGAAGAAGTACTGGACCAACTCTCGGCCAGACTCATCCTGGCATCATCTTTGGCATATCTTTGGTTGCTTTATGGGATAGCCGCTGCATTCCCACTCCGCTCCTTACACAGCCCATTTCAGCAGCCGGCTCAGTTGGTCCCTGTCGTTTGTATGCTCTGTAGGGACAATTTGCATGCCACCCTTAGGCCAACGTTACAAAGTCGTTACAGGCTGCTGCAAGCAAGTGAAAACAGTCCCGTGCCCTGTCTTGTGCTAGGCGAGACCTGGGCTGTCTGGCTGCTTATTCCCGAGCTGGGACGCTGTTGTTCAGGACCTTTGAATTCAGAGCCGGCAGGAACATTGGCATGACAGCGCCATGTGGAGGATTGCTGCTCCCATGGCCGCTTGTGGCATTCCCGCTGCTATGGCTGTGCGATTTGACAGGCCGGCAGGCTCTGACAGCTCTCGAACTCTGCTGTCACTTCGTTGTGCAACTTCGCATGACTTGACAAGCAGACACGGCACCGCACAGAGGCTGGGTCTGGGGCTTCTGGTGCCAGCACACGACCGGCCGGCCGGCCGTGGATCTCAGACGGGATTGTGCCGCGCTGGAGAACTCTGGAGCACTGCATCTCTATGTTGTTGAACTGGTGAGGCTTTCATACTGCCGCTTTGGCGGCCGCATGTAACTTGGTAGCGACAAAGACAGCACATCCGTCACAAGCTGCCAAGCCTTTTCGTCTAAGGTGCGCTGCCACCTTTGAATATGGCAGCTGCATGGAGCATACGCTCATCGCTTTATTCGCACCATCATTTCCTCATGGTGCCTCATTGTGAGAAAGCTGCTTGATGTGCGCAGCCATCGCGGCATCTGTGTAGTTCACGGTTCTGCAGAAGTCTTGCACATGGCGAGGTACTTCTCTTTGGCATGCACATGGGTTGTGCCGTAGGTCGGGGCCGATGTCGAAGCTTTCAGCCTCTGTCGAAGTGACAATTTGTCAAACTTGTGACCAGGCTTTGTGCTGTACTTCGCAATGATGAAGTGGGCCGTCCTCGGTGCTGCTACTGCTGCTTGGTCCAGCAGATCAGGTTCCTCTGCGCTTATCTTGGCACACACTGTGACGGGACAGCGGCACTCCACAGAGACCATCTTTCTGCCTTCTTCGCACAGAATCTGCAAACGAACTGTTAGAGGTTAGAGTGTTGTTGATTTCGATTGCCAGTGGGCAGCGGTAGCAGTAGCTGCGTCAGCACATTACGTTACGAGTCCAGGGTATCCTCAGAGGTTTGCATGGTTTGCCAGCCCAACAGCCAAGCAGCCAACATCATGTTAATCACACACAGATGTTTACAGCCCAGGTCGTCCTTGCAGGGTTTTACCTCTTCGTCTGGTACCAGGCGCCAACACACGAGAGTTGTTGCGGATGGTCTTCGCGGTGCCTGTGCAGGCAGAGTTCACAAGTGTCAGCTTGTTGAAAGCCGCGCAGCCCCGGGGACGTGAAACAGTGTTGCGATATGCATAATTGTAATCAAGAGGCACTATAGCTGAGAACATAGTTAGAAACTTAAGTTGGAGTGACATGTTAGCAATGCTTAGCAAGGTTGCAGTGGGCCTGCGCGCATTTGGTCCCAATCATCGGTGTGAACCTCGGAAAAAGGGTCAGTGAGGCGCACCAAAGAAAGAAGGTCCCCAACTTCCCCAACCTCCGCACTTGGCGAGGCATGTTGATCTCCGCTTCTCTCGAGCCGGCATCTGAGAGCCGTTTTCTGAAGACCCAGAGTCACAAAATCTCGCATGTCGCATCGCATGCGGACACGGCTTAGGGTGGAAAGTGGGGTGGCTCGTGCGCTGGTCCTCTTCATCTGCGAGTCCCAGGCCTAGCCAAAAACTGTACCTGCCCAAGTGATCCCAAGTGTTTGAAGTGCCGTTGGCAGGAAGTGATCCCTACGAAGATGTGCATCCGAATGCTCCTGAGCTCCACCTGAGCTCTGCCTGAGCTCTGCCTGGGTTTTGGAGTGTGCGCGTTCGCCACAAAAGGGCGCAGCCAAAAGCGTCGCCCAGTTTAGAGATCATGCCAGGCCTAATTGTGATTCATGCGTGCGTGAGCATCATCTGGACTGATGGCTGCGTGTAGCTGTTTCGACCGGAGGCTGGACCTGCTGCGTTTTGCTGCCTCGGGCAGGCGCTGAATTCAGTGGGTTTGCCGAGAGTAGTAGCGAAGTAGTGAAGTAGTGGAATGCGGTCATGAATGACCTGGGAGGCCTCGAGCAAGTCTCACCTTGGACGACCTTCCATCCACTGGAGTATTAGCAGCTCCACTGGCACGTGTGCGCAAGCGTTGAGTGTTTCGGCTGTTGGTTCTGCATCTTGTGCCCATCCAAGGAGTTGGTTTTCATGGAAGCTGTTGAGAGCCCGCATGATGCTACCGAGCGCGCCGAAGAAAAAACACTTGCAAGTCCCGTGTGTCCATGTTATGAACTTGAAGTGCCAACTAGTGGGGGAAAGTGCTGCAGCCAGGGCAGGCGCCAGAGAAATCAAGCTGGCCTGCCTGGCCCTCAGACAGCTGAGGCGGCTGTCGTCGGCTGACCGTCCCTGATTAAAGGGGGCGCAACAGTACATCACGCTTCCATCTGTGGATGACAGTTGCAGCCGCTCCTACCCGACACATGTAGCCAGCGGGAAGTTATGTGAAGTTATATGTGCTTTCTGACTCTGCCTACCTCTTTTTGGATTTACACAAGCTTGGCAAGACGAATTGCCGGGCGAAAGCCTGAATCTTCAGCATTAGGATATCTCATGCGTGAAGCGACCAGGCTCAGTTAATTTTGCTGAACAAAGTCGCCACATAGTTAAGGCATGGCGATTTAGTCACAAAGGGATGGGCAGCTGTTGACAATGCCGAAGCTTTCCAACCTTGTCGCTGAACAAGTTAGCTTCGCTTTGACATAGGCTGCCTTACTGCGCCTGGCCGGAAACGCAGAGGCCAGGCTTACAATGACCGATCTCCTGGATTCTTGCGCTTTTCTGAAGTAATAATCTGAATGCAGGCCTGCTGCTTTGTTAATTTGCTTGTCAGGATTCGTGCTGCCTAGAGAGGATGAGAAGAAGACCGTAAAGGGCAGAAGGCACCAGGAATGAAGGCTTTGCACGAATGAGTCCCAAATTCAAGAGGTGTGCCAGAAGCAACTAGCGAATCCTAGTGCAGAAGGACAGAATGGGGAACGAGTTACATAGGGACCCCCAAACTCCAAAGAGCGTCCGGAGTGTCCACCTCAAAGGCCAGACTAACCGAGTCTAGTCTTTTTGCAAAGTTCCGAGTCAGATCAGTGTGACCGTCTTTTGCATGGACGTTGCACAAGTGCACCAATGGCAACGGGCTCGAGAAATGGTTGAAGCACTGAACCGACTTGCTGGGAATCTCCACTTGAGAGTGGAGGTCTCAATGTAATGCTTATGGTGTAAGGCTCGCGGTGCGTGGAGATGACTCGCGCAAGATGTAGCAGCTTCGACAGGATGTTTTGGCTCTGGATTTCCTGGACAGCCTGGCACTGTAGCGCGAAGGAATGTGCGCAGCCCGAAGAATCCGTATTGCTGCAGACGCTTTCTGCCGCTGGCTCGGGAAGGCTCGTCGCCTCGATGAACAACTTCTCCCTAGACACTGTGTTCAACTCGACACTGAAAGACGTGGACAAGATGCGACACGTGTTTTGGGCTGAGAGGTTGGGGAGAAGCAGCCGGTACATCCTGGAATCGGCTGGACTACGGCAGACAGCAGGGGTTGGGGCAGAGATTTCCATCAGCTCGAGCTGGCCTCAACACCTGGCTCGCCTCGCAGGCAGTGTGATGGTTTTGTTCTTGGAAGGGTTTTGCCTGTGCAAGGCAGCACAACGCAGTCCACAATGCGTCTGTGTAATGCTTCACTCTTGGTTGGTGTGGCTGCCGCACAAGTGCACTTGTTCCCAGGTGCCGTATTGGCAACAGGTTCCATATCCATGGCAGACCTTGTATGGATGGTGCCGTACGTCACCAACGAAGCCACAGGCCCCTTTGATCTCAGCTTTTAGTGACTGTTGCATTCCAACTCGAGAGACAGACAACTCTGGCACCGTTGTCCTCTGAGTAGAAGGGAACCCTTCCCGAAAACAAGCCTTTTCAGTCTAAAGGGCACGGCGGCGGGGGGTCAAGCTAATTGGGTGGAGGGTGTGGGGCTTCCGCTCAAAGCCTGAAGTTTCTTTCAGAAGGCATGTATTGTTGTAGTCGACTTCCTGGACTATCTTTAAACAATGTTTGCTACGGCTCCTTGCAAGGCAATAGGGTGACGTCATTGCTTCTGGGGCCTGGGCTCAGGAAGTCGTGATACCTCAAGGAAAGGAGCTCTTTTTCCGAGCTTCAGGAAGCTCTGCAACGAGGGTTCACGGGAGGAGGCCCACAGCTCAACTCTTAAGATAGTGCATGCGCCAAAAACTTTAACGTTTTCTTATTCAATACCTCTTCTGTTTTTAAACCGATCTTTATTGCGCGTTTATTGAGGGCAGAGTGTTCGGTTCAAAATTCAAGATGACGCGAAGCCAGAGCCCTGTGAGGCCGATGGAACTCTGTGTGCTTCATCGCACTGATTCAATGCTTGGCCACGTTGTCAATAGTGGTGGCAGTTCAGGCAGATTTTAAGCATGATCCCAATGTACGAAGGTGGATGGACATTGCGAGTGCCTCTCAGCAGAGATGAAGTTCAGATGAAACTAAGCCGGTAAACTGTAAACATAGATAGAGAACTTGAGAGCAGCAAAGCGGGCTTAAAAGCACTGGGGCGTGTTGTTTGCTTCCTCTGCTCGTGTGGAAGTAGTCAGCGAAGACTCATCGTGAGACTCAGCCATTTTCCTAAGGCAGTACTTCTCTGGCTCTATGCGGCCTTCATCTACTGTCAGGAAAACGTCTGGACGAGGCCTGAGCCAGAGGCAACTCCAGAAATCGCGTCTTCCCTCGCAAGCAGAGAAGGTGCAGTAGTGCCGTAAGCGAATGCCTTGTGGGCGGTGACATCAGAATCTTTATTCTGTTCAGTTCTTGTTCTGTGAGGCACGTCGGGTCCCTGACGTTGCCCAAGAACTCCTGTGCTTTACAATCCCGAGTATGACGGGGCCCTTCATTCCCTGAGCAGAAATTTGCATGGCACCCGCACTAGGTGAGGGCCTGAGGTGGGAGATGTAATGTACCCAGCCACGTGCAACATTCAAACAGCTGATAGCAGAATGATAGTATGGTATAAGCTGTGCAACCAAAAAGATTGGTTCAACATGGCTTGCAGCCGAAACGCAAGCAAATAGGAATAGGCACTGGCCACAATTCATGAGATGAAGCCTCCGTGAACTGCCACGAAAGCTGATGCCTCCACACCATCACAGCGAAACTCGGCACGTGCTCATGGATCCCTGGCATCCTCTGGAACCTGGTTTGGCTCATGTTGTAGTTCAACCGGGTGCCGGCCCTGGTGCGTAAGTCTCGTGAACATCCTGGATCTTGGTCTTCACGATGGTGGCGGTGCAATCCTCCAAGTACCAAATGATGGCATGTGGGAGGTTGTTATCCCACAGTGTCCCCCCTTCGTCCAACTGCTGCCCCGCAGAGGTTAGCCTATGCTGGTCACGTGGATTGCACTTGTGCTGGAGCATGCCTGTGACATGACTCTCATGACATAGCAGGCAGACAGCGAGTGGAAAGGGATTGGGACGGGTTCCCACGTCTCCCAAAGCGGTTAGCAGTCAGCCAAGCACAGACACGGCAACTGCCAACGCGCTGTTTAGAATACCCAAGCAGCATGTTTCCAGGGCCCCAAGCATCTGGCAACTTCTCCAATGGACCATCATGCCGGCCCCGTGTCGCAATTATCATCTGTGGCAGCTGCGTGGCCAGAGAAGAAAGTACGGCGCCCATACCCACATGTTACGGTCACCGAGTGAAGCCACATCACCAACCAGGTCCTGGGGCAGCGCACTGAACTCCTTCGCACCCATACTGTAGCCGGCGTGGCAGTCACTATTGGCATCATCTTTGCAGTAGCCTGTGTGCGAATCGTCGCCGGCGCTGGGTCCACGCGTATTCCTAGAAATGCACCTGTCACTTGTCAGACTCACCAAGTGTGGACAATGACCGAGGGCAGCAAAGAACGAAGCCATGTGCAGATTCGCGTGCCTCCCTTCCTAAATAAAATGTGAGATGCCAGCCCCGCCTTCTTCGGTTTTACGAAATGTGACCATGAGCGTCATTTGAACCAACAGGTCCAGTAGATTTGGGTTTTTTTTGTTCATGTGCGGTGACCTTATCCGTTGGATGAGCCCGCTACAATCAGACATCATCTAAGGAAGAGCCCGACGCATCTTGCGAAGAGACCAAGTACACCAGAGGCAGATTGTTTTTTCCTTCTTGTCCAAAACCTCGGCATCCTCCCCGTCAAAAGACCTGGCGCCGTTCTTAGCTCTTGCTGAGCTTCGCACGGTCGCACGGCGTGCTGGGAGAGATGATTTAGCTGGACACTTGCAGTACACGGACAGCGCCACTGCTGACCTCAAGATGCGCTTGTTTCCGGTTCATTACCCATGCGAGAACCCTGCCAGATACTCTCACTTCATATTAAGAACCCCCCCACCCCCTCCCTATGGTTGCCAGCAGGGGGTCTGTAATTAGAAGCTTGTGACCTTTCCTGCGCGGCCTGAGTGTGAGCTGTTATACAGAGTTCCAGTAGGAGGCCAGCAATAAAGGAAACTAGCCGCTTGTCCAACTGCCTCGGTCCGGAAGGATTGTGCCATTCCAGGGGGGGAAGGGTTCTAATTTTTGTTGATTTGGGTTGTGCAATGACTGTGGGGGGGTTCTGAATATAGAGTCGACAATGCCTGACGGCTTTGGGACAGGCTCCTTTGTCGTGCTTGCCCTGCTGAACTCGGTGGACCAGATTCTCGTGTTTGTGCCATTGGTCTCTACTGGCATGGTCACTGCCTTGGAGCTTGAGGCAGCTCCAGCTGCAACATGCTGCAACTCATGGTCATGCGGGACATGCTCGGGTTGATGCAACAGTAGACTTCTCCTGTCGTTAGCCTCTAGAAGTCTTCAGCAGAAGCACCTCGGGCTGTTTGATTCCTGGTTCGAGAGCCTGGTTTCCTTGGAGCTGACCCTAGTCGACTGAGCCGTGTTCTGATTTCGTAGTGCTTTGAGTGTTTAGTGAGAATTGTGCAGTGCCCTCAAAACAGAGCGTGTCATCGGTGATCGGCGAAGTTGCCAGTGCACTCACTCAGTCAGTTCAGCCCGACACCTTCCGATGGAATCACCGGGCTCCATGAATTGAACATGGAGTTTGCTGACTTAGATTCTTTGCTGCCCTTGCAGTTGCAGTGCTCATGCGTCCTGTCCCTGCAAGGTCGGCGTCTTGACAAGCTCCTTCTTAACAATTGTCGCATGCATGTTGATCGGGCAGCTCACATGTATGGTGCGCGCCATCGAGGCACGGCATGCCGGTTCGGTTGGGTTCTTGCTAATCTGCACTATGTTTCTGGAACTTCGCAGGCCATCCCGCTCTGGTTACTTGTTGCCTTGGTCGGGCTGGGCGCTCTTGTCGGTGCCCTTCTTTCCTAGTGAGCCACGGAGTTTCCAGCCGTTTCACGCCGCGGCAGTATGCCATACGGCAACTGCCTGTTTGGATGTTGTGGATGTACAGGCTTTGGAGAAAGACGCAAAATCAAGCGGGCCGATGCTTGAGTCCATCCAGCAAGCGGGAAAAATGATGATCGGTCGAGTCTGTGGCAGGCAGTTGGCAGGCTCCAGAAGGGTTCCACAGTAGTTTGCCTTTAGTTAGACAAGCGCAGACGAAGTCAGTTGAACCCTCGACTTTCCATGTACTGTACATGTTCTGGCTGAAGGCATTCTGCTCGAAAGCCGTGGTATTCGCACGAAGCTCAGGAGACGGGCTTTGAGCTTGATGTAGACACAGCAGACCAGCTGGTCCTGTTAAGCTCACAAGACGTTTCCACATGCTGGCGTGTTCCATACCATGCGGCATGTTGAGCAGGATCCATGTGCTAGTTGAAGAGTCCCAAGACCAGGTGAGCGATGATCCGGACCTGGCACGTATCAGTGCCCAGGCAGAGATGCAGCTTGTCGGCTGCAAAATGCACTTTAGGATCAACTGTCGGGACTGCGGGCAATACGCCTCATGCCTCACATGCTTGACCAGCTGCTAGCTCGTTAGCAGTACCTCTCAGACATCTGCCCGTTGCTTCGTGCTCCTACATTGCGCAACACCACAACAGCATCGAGCAAAAGCAAAGATCAGCGTGGAAGGTGACCCATCGGACAGGGCAAACTATGGGATAGACTGGGGCTGTGCGTGCACAGTGGGGGCTAACGTGACGGTACGGTGGGGTGGCAGGGGTTTTCTGCCAAATGAAGACTCCCCTCGGTGCTCCGCGGAAACGCATTCCCGAAACAAGTTTCGTTTCGCTCTGCTCCCTGTCGAACCTCAAGCTTGTCGGTGCTTGTACTTATGTGTGCGAACGCTGTGCAAGAGCTGACGACGTGACTATCCCATCGTGCTATTTGAGCCTACTGCCACACTTTGGCACAAGTGCGCCGTGAAGTGACTAGTGCTCTTCAGTACTCTCACAGCTTGCAGCTGAAGTTTCCAGAAACTTCATGAGGGACCCAGCTGCCAAGAAATGGTCTCGGGACACTGCACGGTGCAGTTGAAGGGAGTTGAGCCTGCTTGGCTTGAGCTCGCATGAACATATCATGAACTGCGTTTTCTTGCAGAGGGCCTACCTGGCTCATCAGGGTTGAGCGGTGTTTGGGCATTCAAGATCTTCGGCTTCCACCAGTCTTATTTCGTAAGTCCCTGCTGACACATTGGTACGAACTTGTACGAACTTGCTGGCCATGCAGGTGTCTCTGTGCAACTTCTGCATTGAGCTTGAGGATGCCCAGCGAAAGGCCTGGGCTCCCATGACTCCGAGTTTGCTGCCAACGTGCTCCGAGCAATGCTTTACCGTTCGGTAGCGGTTTGTGCAGGCGTGTCTGGTGGATCACGCCAACTTCCCAGGGTCAGAGCATGTGAGCAGCATGTGGCCATGAAAAGCCATCCCAAGGGCGCAAGTCACAACGGGAGTTGTCTGTTTCTATGTCCTCTGATGCCGAAGTGAGCGATTGCCGATGCGATGCAATTCAGGTTGGCGAACTCTACGTTGAGCTGAGCCAAGCTGACTTGCCTTCGGATTAAGCGACGTGCAAAAACACGTACAAGCACCCTGAGCTCGGACAATCTCCGATGTAAGGACATCGGTGCTTGCAGTGCTGGCGCGGATCCCCAGCTTGTGCTCATGGATAGCTCCAAAGTGTTCCGCACTAGCTGTTCTGTCTTCACTGCTTAGACGGCTTCTGAAGAACACGGTCACGGGTGTCTAAGCATGTTGGCTGACACAGTCGCTTCCACACCGAGGGTCGAGATGGCCTCAGCATCAATCTCTAGTCAGGTGCGATTTCTCGAATGTTCTGGAGCAGTAGCTGTGTGCAGCACTTCTATGGTAACCGACGCTGTTGGCAGGCTTGGCCACTTACAGCTCAGGCTGGATCCAGAGGCGACTGCAGCACTATCCGCACAATAGGTCTGTAAACATATCTGTAGGCAGAATCAAGTGAACTTCATGATGTTGCTACTCAATGCGATCAATGCTGCGAATTTTCCTTCAGGAGGCACTGATGGTCACGGATTTGCTACTTAGCTTTCTGGAGGTGCGCTGCTAGATCCTGTTAGATCCTGTGAGAATTTGCTGCGCAAGACTGCTGGGCCCTGAAGGAACTCGAGCTGAGTGTTGCTGACGAGCAGTGGCCTCGGAACCATCTTCTTCCCAACAGGTTTGCGGCTGGTGACAAAAGTCACGCCCAAGCTTCAGCTGGAGGAAGCACACTGTCTGGCAGAGGGGTAGAGGCCCGGGACACGAGTTCTGGCCAGAAGTCTTTCGTGAAGATAGGGCCAAGAATCTGCTGGCGCTGCGACCGGCATCACCTGCGAAACTCGACAGATGCTACAAAGAAGAGGACAACAAAGCGAGGAAGACACGCTCCACGAAGACAAAGTCCGAGCCAAGGCGAAGCCCAGCGAATCGTCTTGATGAATGCTTGACTGGAGGGACTGGAGAGGTCTGGTCAATCCACATTGAGCATCATACTCCCATCGTGCCACAAGGATAACTTGAACGATTCTGATTTCCTCGTGAGAGTTGTGGGTTCGTGTGGGTTCGGGATCGAAGGGCTCCTCTGCCGGGTTTCACAGTACCGCTTCCTGCAGGGCCCAACCAAATGAGCCAAGTGAAGCTCACAAACGCCCCAGAAGCGCATCCAAGCGTGCTAATCATATTCATGGCTGCGCTTTTGGCATGGAGCATATACCAAGGCTGGCCGAGCTGCTCTCTCCTGAGCATGCGGATGGTCTCAGAGACATTCTCTTGGCCAGGGCCTTAGAAGCAAAAGTGACATGTGGAATCGCTCCAGCAACGGAGTTTGTGGACTCAGAAGTTCACTCGGAGGCTCCAGAGATGCTGGTGCTACGGTCTCAGGAGCGAAGTGGGCAGAGATGGCACAGCACGCAAGTTTGTAAGATCAGTTTGTCAGTTCTGATTTGTGTTCTCATGTCTGGACATGTGTTGGCCCATGTTGGCCCACTATTGCCAAGGCCGGAGCCTGCCCCATGGCCTCCGGACATGCAACGCGGCTAGAATGATCGCACAGAGTTGCATTCGAAATTTTGCCTTGCCAAAAGCAACTACGGCTGAGGAGCCTCGCATGCTCAGCAGGGGCCCCGGGTATGATGTTTTGGACCGCATGGCAACACAGTGCAGGACTCGGGCTTGCAGTTAAAATCCAACAGACGCTGTCGTCAGGATGCTGTGCGGGTCTTGCTGCCCTGCGGGGTCCAACTCTCGGATTAATAAGTTTCTGCAGCGAGACGCCCCCTAACAAGACAATAGAGACCTTTGCGTCCTTCACGATCTGCTGATGGACGGCGAGTCACCGTCGTAGTCTACAGTCGGTACCGTCGGTGCCTACATGCCGAGTCCGAGGTGCAAACGCCACCCTTGGCATTGAGCTTCGAGATCCACTCACAGCGGGTGTCGCGGATTGCATTCGGAGGGAGGAACTCGGGGCCTCTTGCCAAGTCTTGGGTGATCTCGTGTCACGTCTCGAGCCTCGAAGAGGCCTGTGATGGCACTTTGGCACTCACATTTCGACTCTCGGCATCAAGTGGACTTGGGCAGCGGATCAGTGTCGATTTGTTCTTTTTCTCAGGCGATCTGACCACTTGGTTGTTGCCTTCCATGCCTCTTTGTTGGCCAGACGACTGGACCCCAAAGAAGAGGTGCGCTGGATGCTTGAAGCCAATGCAGAAGCATGATCAGATGCCGCAAGAAGTTCCGCAGCCCATGTGCATGCACCCTCAGAGTCCACGTTTGTTGTTTTCTTTCTCCATCCTGCGGTCTCGGAGGATCATGCATTGCCCCTCCTTGATCCTGTCGGTGGCGCCCCAGGCCGAATGCAAATGCATCTCACCGTGCTGCAGCGTGCCATATGTGCGATGGGAATCAGGGAACGTGTTCAATAGTCAAAGTAGTTTAGCCCAAGGAGCTCGTGGCGCAGCTCTCGCTCAACTTGTCGTTCACACCGATGGCCGTGATGGTGCTGACTTGTGGCCTCCGGCGCTGGGGCAGTGCTCAAAAGGACCCACCCAAGTTGCATGAAATGCACTGAGGCAGACATGCATGATGACAGGACACCGAACTATGGACTAAGAATAACGCCGAGACTAGATATGAAGTACCGTAGCGAAACGAAGTTACACAGAGGATGTGGCTCCGATCATGGAGAAGCGGAGCACGTTCAGCAGTTCCTTCGGAAGCTCAGGCGCACATGAACACGAGAGTGGGGATCACATGCGCTCCATGTCAACTCAACACTATGTTGCGTAAAAAGCGCCCGTAAGGCATGCGGCATGTGGGGTTTGCATATTGATTGCAGTACGACTGCTGACGGGCCTGAAGCGATAATGGCGAGGGGGAGGCTTTCGCCTCGTGTGTTCAGTGAGCGCTGGTTTGAGGTCGTCGCCAGCTTGGGTCAGGTTGTGTGTAGGCGTGTAGGGGGATCGGACGAGGGCGATGGCACTTGGGGCAGATTGGGGCACTCCCATCGTAGCTTGTGTGGAGGGGAGATGACGCGGTGAGCGGTTAGGGCTAGGGGGTTGGTCATTGACAGAGGGCAGCTGGTTTTGGGGTTGCGACCCTGTGCCTTGCCTATCTCTTTCCTTGGTATGGATTCCGCTCAGGGGCGCGGTGTGCGGGGGTTGCGGCCCTCAAGCCTAACGGAAGATTCGAAAGGAATGAGACAAACGAATCACGAACGCGATTAGGCACCCTCAGCGCTCAGCCTCTTAAGCCGACTATCGCCATCACATCTCTTCGCCTTACGTGCAGGTGAGCTGTCGGCATCTCCGAGAGACTGGCGTCTGGCTGTGCGGGTGCACGTGCCACAGCTGGAGCTGGAGCTCGTTCTGGCAGAAGTGCCAGCAGCTTGCTTGGAGGCTACCTGGGCTCAGGGAAAGCTCTCCCAAAATCTGCCAAACAAGGTCATGAAGGGCCGGCTGCAGCAATGGGACATCGGCTTGGAAGGCCCGCTATGCAGCGTGCATACTGTACTGCTGCTGAGAGGCTGTTCGTAAACAAATGTTCACACGATTCTACCTGTGTAACTCACTGCAGGCACATGTGCAAATGGTCTTGGCATCTCTTCGACCCTGGACTCGGCTTTCCTTTGGGTGCCTGGGGCCAGCCGGCCGGTGCTGAAATTCCTGGGTGCCTCCCATCTCTCTCTCGCCCTACCACTGGGGGAAGCGGCTTTCAAGGAGGACCCAGGGTATCTCATGGTGCACAGGTGTACAGGCTGAAGCAGGTACAGTACATAGCTTAGAGCTGTGGCCCCATGTCTACTCACTTCTTCTTTCACAAAGTAAGCTGAGGAGCTCTCGATTCGCTGCATGGTCGCCCCACTGTGGGCATGCGTGGACTGCACAGCCTTCTCCTTGATGCTCGACTTCCTGACAGAGCTTGAAGAGGCAGAGCTAAACTCCAACACTGCCAGTTATTCAGGCTAGGCAAAGTTTCAGGTGCGGATGCATACATGCGGATTGAAGCAGAATGGGAACATTAGGGGTTGTGGCAGGTTCGTGCATGTACAAGTCACCACCCGTCACGGCGAGCCTATGTCAGTATGTCAGTCCCTACATGCTGCCGCCCCGGTGGAAGGGTTGGGAGGCGCGATTGCCGTCACGGCATTGCGAGGTTTACAGGGTCATTTCAAGGATTTGTGAGGCCGATGGCTGGTCAGGCTGATGAAGGAATTTTCGGGTGAATGTGTGGACACGGCTGCTTGAGTCTGGCATCGTTGGATGCCCCTTCCCCTTCTTCTGACATGCGATCTGATCAAAGCGCAGGGCGGGTCTTCGGACATCTTTGGTGTTGCAGATGTCTCAAGGCTAGTCGGATTCCTTTGGTTTGGTTGCGTTGCTGCCTCAAGCTGTGACTTGGCCCGGAGGCTTTTGCCAGCAATCCTCTGGGTGACGAGTCCACATTGGACTTCACTGAGCAACATCTGCGGGCACGGATGTACACTGCACCACTGTCCAACGCCGTCTGTTGTGCCTTGGCTACAACTTTGATGACTTTTTTCCATGAGTTCAGACTCAAATAGGTGCGAATAGCCGCATAGTTTCACGAGATAATTCTTTTTTCCGTCATGCGGACTAAAGCCACATCTATAATCAGGCCTGTTGCCAGAATGCTGCTATCGATTGCAGCAATGGGACGTGCATCTCGCATGGACCAACCTCTCATTCTTTCTGCCTACCGCAGGGGAGGACAAAGACCCACAGGGAATTTTGATCGGCTGCGCTGCGAAATGGTCTTTTCGGCAGTTGAGAAGTCGGTGTTTGGTGTCCAAGTTCTTTGCTGTCCAAACGCAGCAAAGCGTCTCGTTCTCAAGCTCACCACCGAAGAGCGTCGACGGGGCCATTCTCCACCCTTGCCGCCTCAAGATTGAACTCAATCTTGCACTGGAACCCTCCCAGGTTCTTCGGGGCGTGACCGGGCGACTTGTGGTAGATCCAGTTTGCGTCTCTTTGAAGACCGAGCACGTGCCTTTGCTAATGCAGATCTGGCGGCACCTCCGTTACTTGGACTGCACACTCGCTGCTTTTGGGGCGGAATCGAGTCTGGAGAAATCATCGAGCGCGGGCAGCCTGAACTGCAAGGCGAAGACTGACTTTTCAGAAAGCTCGGAATCAAGCCGATGGTGGCGGGCAAGCTTGAGCGATGTTCGCAAGGTGACGAAGGTGCTAGAAGAGTTGATCCCAGAGTGCTTCCTGCAGTTCTGTGACCACATGCTGAGTCTAGTCTGTACTTGCAGACTGCAGTTGGAAGTGGAGCTGTGCGCGTTGCATGTGGGATTGGTGCAGTCGTCAACCGATGCAGAGCTTGTCATCATTTTGGTGGAGGACGTGCTGGTCTCGCTGGATCGGACCCTGGCAGGATTTGCCACACAACTCGGTGGAGCTCCTTCGCCACTCTCCGGAACTTCTGCAAGCAGCGCGCCAACCTCGCCAGTCACCAGGTGCCCACGGCGCCGCGAGCATCTTATGCTTCATGTTGGTGCTTTGTCTGTTGACATCACATCGACTGAGTTGGCAAGGGCGGCCACCCTGCTGGAGCCCGTGTGTCTCGTGCTGGATCTATACGAAGGTCACAGGCATCAGCCATCCAGCTGCAAAGTGTCCTGGGCGAACTTAAACATAAGCTCCACACTAATTGAGACGATGGTGAGCTTGTACAGTGATGCATCTGAGAGAATTGCAGCAATGCAACCCTTGGAGATTGACACTCCTGGGGCAACACCGGTTTCCTTGCGCTGCTTTTCGCCCAGCGCGCACCCGTCTTCCCCCGTACATGCACGTCCAACACTCCAGCGGCAGGTGAGCATTTCCTCACGTCAGCCGCAGCTGTCCGTGTGGAATTTTCTTGGCCAGGATATCGCTTTGACTGTAGTGGACACGGGCGGCCCTGATATTTCAGAGCACATATCCACTGAGAAAAACGGTATAGTCAAGATGCCGTGGTGTGGCGTCCGCACGTCCAGTGCTGGGGACCCCAGAGGCTGGGCTGTGCGACTTCGAATTGCTGAAATGCCTGATGTTGACGTTCCCCTGCACTTATCGGCCGCTGCAGCCATCAAGGCGGTTGCTTTGAAGCCCCGATACATGACCAGCAGCTCGTCGATCACTGGGTCACTGCGGCAGCTAGGTTCCAAGCTTCGCTGCAACAGTACAGAGACCACCTTAAGTACCCACAGCAATCTGGACATGGCGATGAAAGCAGCACCTTCGGCTCTTTCAGGGCAATGTTGGATCTTAGTGCGCACGGAAGTCGGAAGCAAGCTCCATGAGCTGGAGGTCCAGATGAGTTCTGTGCTCTTCCTGGAGAACCGGACCAACGTTGGCATCTCAGTGGCACCCTACGGAACCTCTTTGGAGAACTTCCTGGAGCTTCCTCCCAAGAGCCCACCACGGCCTGTTCCGGTCGCTTGGTTAGCCATGGGAGCGGATGGGAAGTTACCACCCACGCTTTGGGCTGGGGTAACGGAGGAGCTCCGAACCCCGCCCCTGAACACCTCCGGCAGCTCCTTGAGCATGACAGCGGTCGTGTCGGGAGTGTCAGGAAGTACGGACTCCATGGCATGGAGTTGGATGAGAAGGCAACGAAAGACAGGCATGCTGCAGCCCTTGCTACTCTTCAGCAAGAAGCTCTGTGTCTTCCTTCTTTATCTTCTTTAGATTTCTGAATCTCTTTTCCATAGGCTTAGAATGGGGCCTCTGTGCCTCTGCTAGCACTCAAAAATCGCTCAAAACCTCAAAACAGATTCAGATTCAATCCGTGCAAGGATCGGGTCGCGAAGTTGGCAGGCAATCTGTCGCTACAAGAGTATGGTTGCGAACGACTACTTTCTGCGATCCAGGATGATTCGGCTCCAGGATCGTGCGGGGGAAGAGTGCGCGTGTTTCTCCGCCACAATCTCCGGAGTAAGCGCCGACTTGCAGGCCTCCTTGCAAGCCTTGATCTTCTCCGTGGCTTTGGACCCTGCTGCCCGGATTTGTAACAGAATGCCATCTACTCTGCAATTGCACACCGTGGACGGCCCTTTGCTGATCCGTCCTGGGGAAGACATCGACATTCTGAAGCCATCGCAGCAAATTCAGATCTCAACCGAAGCTCCAATCTCCACAGGTTCAGAGGAGCCTGTCCACCTGCATCTCGCAACGGCCCTATGGGCAGATCGGCTACCCAGAGAGAAGCACCAGAAGCAGCTCATCTTCGAGGGCGACGAGAAGGAGAGAAGAAGAGAGAATAAGAAAAGTAATGATAAGACGAAAAGAGAAAGTGAGAAGACAAAGGAAAGAGCGCTCTCTTGAAGGATGTGTTCTGCTGTGCTTCGGAAGGAAAGGGAGCAGCATCCGCGCCTGGTGGCCACGCTCGAGACGGAGCCGGGCCTGACCAACCCGGCGGAGTCCTGGGCTCCCTTGCAGGCAAACCAAACCACTCCCCAAAAGAAAACCAAGCTAACACCCGGATTAACACTGTGGAATCATCGGGTTCATCGGGCCAACCAACTAAGGGTTAACCCTGAAGAGGGAGACTCTGGGACTTCTCCCTGACAGTTCAGTCGGAATTTGTAGGCACACGTGGGTATCACCGAGAGCGACCGCAGCAAAGACCATGCGCTTCTGAATGCAGGTCCGCCAGTACTCGCCGCGCTCCTTGCGACTCGTTTTCTTCACGCAGCAGCCTGGCTGACCACTCGGCTGCTAGTACCACATTCCAAAACTGAGATTTCAAGCGCAATGCCAAGGTACTGGCTGATGAACCGGCGCAGCGACTGTCGAGTTTGCATTCCGCGGGTGGACCTCCCCACCACAGGTGAAACAGGCACAGTTGGCTCAGCTGGGACACAGCCTTGCACAGGTTGTAGGCCACGTAACATCATCGCGGCATCAGCAAAATGCGCATTCTGCGGTATTGTCTTTCTGAATCCCGAAAGTTCTGTGAAGATCGGCATTCCACAGGAATCCCGGGGCTTGGAATCAAGGGGAATATGCTCAAATGCTTCCTTGAAGCCGTGCTAAACGCGGACAGATGGCTCCTCCAAAACAGTGCATCTGGCACCGGAAAAGCAGAGGCCTCAGGGCAATGCAACTGCCTTGGCCTGGGCCTAAATGCATTCCTTATGAAAGGAGTGCAGGATGAGAGCATGGCTTTTAAACGGCTGAAAGCAGACCGATTGCATGTTTCAGGTCTGAACAAAATGTATCCTGCGGGCAGTCTGTGGTCTTCCAACTCTCTTTGGGTGTGAGTGCTCCATGATGTTCATGACAACAAAAACAACAGTGCGACGATGCACTCTGCACAGGTCGTGCTTGTTGGCACGCTAGGCATCTTGACCACACGACTCTGCTGTTGCGATCTCCTAAAACATGGGTTGGCAGTGGTTTCTCCTGGTGCTGAAGTGTGGGGTTGGTCGGGTAAATAGATTCTGCGCTTGCTCTTGGAATTGTATGGGAACAACCTAAACTTAAACATTCTGGACAAACATTCGGCGTTTCACAGGAAGCCTGAAGGTGCGCGAATGAAGAGGAACGTGCCCCCAACGCAGTAATGGAGCTTGGCTAGAACTTGCCGACGTTTCATCTCAAAAATGGATTGGCAATGGCGAGCAGCCACGGCAAACACTAATGTTCTTTGCCCCACTTGCCCTACTTGCTTTTCCGGAAGAGCTGTTTGATGTTGACAACTTGCCCTGCTTGCCCCGCTTGCTGGTCCGAGGGTGCTGTGGGCGCGCTGGAGCCCTGGAAAGTAGTTCACCATGATCCCAGGAAGGCTAAGGCTAAGGTGTGGGGGTTTGGGGGCGTGAGGGGCCTGGCAGCGCGGAGTTGCTTAAGACCAAAGCTGCTCGGAATTGGAACTTTGCCTTGGGCTGATGCATGCAGCACAGCCGCGTTGCAACCAAGACTCCAACATTGGAGCTGCTTTCGGTGACACCGTAAATGGATTTGAAGCAGACAAGACCCTAGAACCCACACACGAAGCTGTGTGTTGCTTCAAGCTTCATGTGACTTGGAGATGTTCACCCGCAAGCACCTCAGGCTGCTGAAATGTCTTGGGAGCCTCAGCCTTCCCTGAATCTATCCGACACGAAAGAAACTAGCCTTGCAAATGACGCACCGGGGTCTTGGCGGCAGGTTTGGTAAAATTTGGCAGCAAACGTCCTGGTCCGCATGCAACACGGCATGCACTCATGCAGTACGACAGCAATTCGCTGCGAATGGTGTCGGAGGACTTGGTCAGGTGGGGGTTGGTTGCTTGCTGGCTGTTGTGATTTGCAACCGTGGGCATTCAACAACAAAATGGGCTGATCATGTGACAGGCGCGGCAAGATCCGTCTGGGTCTTTGTGACCAGCGCTACAACGCAAATGGCGAGTCGCTCGTCCCAGTGACACAAGCATTCAGGAGAAGTCTTGCTTGCACGGCGGGAGAGCTGTTGCTAGCCTTGTTCGGGCAGCTCTTGGCTTTTCCTGTCGATGCCTGTTTTGCAACTTGAAGTTCGGAAGTTGTGGAGGAACAATCAAGCATGCTCTTGGCTCTTTTCTGTTCGGATCACTCGTCCAGCTGCTGTTGACATGGTTGTCTAAGATGCGCTCCCATGACATCGAGTGGAGGCTCTGCAAACCAAGCAGAACTTCCGAAAGCTAGATCTGACTCTTTCCACTTCACATTTGCAAGGGCAGGAGCCTTGTGCAGAAAGAACTCGTGTTAAAGCAAAGACTCGCACGAGCTTCCATAAATGGTTGGGGTGGGGATCTGCGGGATTTCAAAGCAGCAAACATGCAGCAGCCCTGCGCAGGATAAGACAACCCACTGCGCGGCCCTGAGTTCAGAGGCGTGTTGCACATGTCACTTCTGACATGCTGGCACCTTAAAAGAGCTGAGTTCGGTTCAACGATGTTCAACGCCGTCTTAAGTTCTTCTGTGCCTGCAGCACGGTAGCTCGAATCTGCTCGAAGTGGTCGTCTTCTTTGTATGTCAAGGATCCCTTGGATCGCTCGAAGTTTGTGAAGCCAATCTCTTTATGAATCCATCTGGCGGCCGTTGATCTGCTTGCTTCTGGAAGTAATGAAGTCATCAAGTTGAATGAAGTGTTTATGAAGGTCACCGCCGCCTTCCAACAGCTGCATCAAACAAATACAGGCACAGGATGCGATTGTTCGACAAAGCTGCGACAAGCAATAGCGTCATTGCATCATTAGTTCGAGACTAAGCAAGAGATGATTGCAAGCCCTGCCTGAATTCGGCAATCTCACAGCGCCACGGTGTCTGACACATGCAAGACAAGTCGTATAAAACAAGTCACGCAAGCACGCTCCAACAAAGCAACCCCCCCCCCCCCCCCCCTTTCCCCGCTTTTGCGGATTGATTTTGCCCCCCCCCTCCCCTCCCTCCCCCAATAAATGAAGGGTCTCCACGGCCCCCGCCCCTCCACGCCCCCCCGCCATGCCCCCCCCCCCACGCCCGCCCACCCCCCCGTCCAGGCCCGCCCCGACCGCCTGGAGGCTCCCTGTTTCGACGTGTCAAGACCTCGAACGAGGATGTGAATCCGCAATGCTCCGGAAAGTTTTTTTTGCTACCCTTAGGCTTCCCATGATGCTAGAGTATTCATGTTTATGATCGGCTGCGATCGTTCAAATCGGCAAACACACACACACTTCCTTCGCCATGTAGCTGACCATGTCGCTGACCACATAGCAGACCATGTGCGGCATCTTCGGTTTTGGGGAGTGGCCATCGAAAAGTAACCGTCACAAAGTCATCTCTCATAGCACACACCATCACAAGGTACTTTCTGTTACTAGTGCCGCTAGCAGCTGTGCATGCGAAAATTCTCATTTCTCCCTCGTAAATGCGTTGCTTGGGCTGTCCGGCGTTTGTTTAGCTTTCGTAGCCCCAATCTCAAATCGTATGGAGAGCTGGGGAAAATGGAAGAGCATCCCAAGGTCTACTGTGACAGCTCGCAAGCATGCAAGATCTGACGCTTGTGATCAGTCTAGGTCGGCTCTGCAACGGCACCTCGCACAGATCGCAATCCAGTGCAGCGTTGCTTCGGATACACGGTGAGACCAGCACCTCTACCCTTTCACCGGACGTTGATCGTGGAAGTGGTGCGCCGCTACACTTTGCTGAACCACAAGGAGCATCCCTTGTTTTGCTTTGAGCAGAGTGTCTTAGCGCCACTGGAGCTCTCGGCAGGCTCCTCTGCTGCATATGATCCGCAGAATCCACAGGGAGCAAAGCAGATAGCGATCAGCGGTGTCGGCCCATCCTATGCCGGTGGCGGAAGTGCAGTGAACGATCGGAGCGACCGGCCGCCAGAGAGGAGCACTGATCGAGGTGTCACCGTGCCCAGGTCAAGACACGAGACCGGAGATCTGGAAAGCGGACACAGCGGACGCCGCCCTCAAAGGAGGGCCGTGACGTGGGCGGATCAGACTGAGCAACACCAGGAAGCAGAGAACCAAGTGTTGGAATGTGCAGAGAGGGACAGGGACAACGACCACCGAGGATGCTATTCGGCTTCATTCGGGCTCGCTGAAACCAGCAGGAGTCGGTTCCAACTCATGCATCAGATTGACCTTTCCTGTTTTGTCTCCACCATGGCTTGTGCGTCCGCACACCTTGCCAGACCTGAGCCATTGGTCGGACCAGCTGAGCCGCCCACAGCGCACGGTCGTGCATGGTGCCTGACAGCTGTTGATACCATGGTGGAACAGAGCTCCGTGGTGGTACGCTTTTCAGAGCCACTGCGGCCACAGTTCCGCATCATCAACCGCACCGGACACCCACTGGGCCTCTGCCAGGCGAGCCTGCAAATTGTGTGCAGGTTTTGATTGCACGGTAGCACGGCGCGCTTAATGATGGCTTAATGCATGAGTCGCATCATATGGTTGTACCTGTTGTACCTGCATCAACCTTGTTTCCAGTACAGTAGTGACCGGGCAGCACAGGTTTTTTGTGCGTCCCGGGCCCTGAGGTCCAGAACCATTTCTGGTTTGACCGGAGTGTCCTAGGAGTCTTTCTTTGAGGGAAGAGGGTGTGGGGGTCTAGGGCATGCGCATGATGAATTTGAGGTGTCACGGTGCCATGTTTAAATGGATTGTCGAGGACTCCGAGGGCGCACCTTCTTTGGAGCTGGCGCCTGAAAGACGAATGAGCTTCTGCTGGTTCCAGCCCGAGGGCCCTCAGCGTCTCAAGCTTCGCCTTGGACCGAAGGAGCATCTGAGTTTTTTTTAAGTACAGTTTTTTGTAGAGGTAGATTGAGGTGGAGAGTACGCTGAGTACATGTTGGTGATGCAGCATGAGCCCATCTGAGGCACAGCTACGAGGTGGGGACAGTTGAAGAGCACTCGCCGCCACTCCACGTTGAAAGGCCACCGCAGGGTGCAGCTGCGGGGTGGTTTCGGGAAGAGTTCCTGGTGCAAACCCGTGTGGTTCGAGGATCGCGCGAGGTCCACATTCACCCGCATTGCCGTCTCACAAACATGAAGGGGCAGCCCCTGTTGGTGAGATCCGGAAATGCCAAGGCAGGTGAGATGGCCGTGGTTCCCCATGAAGGGTCTGTGTGCCTTCAGAGAGAGGCCAAAACGTCTGAGCAAGTTTTCCTGCAGATCGCAAGCTGCACGCAAGACTGCACATCAGGTGCAGCAACGCATTGGTCAGCACCGATCATGCTGACGAAGAGCTTATCTGGGCACCGAGGTTTCCTTCGGCACATGACCAGTGGTGGATCGGGCATGACGTCTGTATTTGAGATTACGATGGTTGACGTAAAGAAAGATCCCGTTTCAGACTTCTTAGTCGTGGAGCTTCGTCCATATGTTCAGTCGAAGTGCCCATACTTCATAGAGAATGCAAGCCGTCTTTGTTGCAGCGTGAGTCAGTTAGATGGACCGGAAGCAGGAGCGACTCTGGATCTCTTCCCACAGGAGAGCGCACCATTTGTCCCAGTGGGTGCTGTCTTAGGAGGTCAAGGAAGCTTTCAAGTAAGACTCTCTGCAATGGGAGACGATGGAGACTACGAAGACCAAAGCGCTGTCATTGATATCGAGCTGCCACAAGAGACGGTTCTTGGCCCCCTTCACGTTCAAGTTCTGAAGGAGAGGCCCCGTCACATCATCATCAGGGATATTGGAGCTGTTCAAACTGGACTCCGGCGATCTCGAAAAAGCCAGCTGCAAGCCTTTCCTCCCTTTCTGCTCATGCGACGTCTGCTTGGTACAGGCAAGGCTTGGATCCCTGACAGGAAAGAGAGCAAGGAAAAGCCGGTTATTCCAAATCCGATCCCATTGTCTCCAAGAAGGCGTACAAGGTTGAATGGGTATAGTAGCCAGTTTGGAAGCCCGGCATCGCGGAAAAGAACCGTTCATCTCGGATCAAGACCTTCAAGTCCCGGACGCCGAAAGGAGAGGCACTTCACCGGAGCGTCCACTCCGCGCCTGCTTGCCATGCCAAGTGTGCGTTCCATGCGCTCCTTGGGTTCGCCTATCTCCCGACTCAGGAAAGGAACGCTGGACATCTTCTGGACACAAAGTGGACGCAAGCGTTCGTACCGATCAAACGGAGTTGTCTTTCAGCTTTGTGCAGAGGGTGCGGGCATCACGCTTGTGGACAGTACTGCGTTGCATGAAGTTGCTTACTTTTGCGTGGAGACTCTGGTCATCAATTCTACCCGAGACGGAGCCCAGCATGAGCTTGACGTCAAACTCGGCTGCGTTCAAGTTGATGTGAGAGACAACGGCGCCAGCTGGAGAAGCAATGTGATGCTCCGTCCCCAACGGGCGCGCCTCCACAATCCCGTTCGAACTGTGAAGGAGAAACCCTTTCTGCTTTGCAGTGCAACCTGGACAGCGCTGGACCGTGGAGCAGGTCAGGACCTGACACCGAACGACACACATTCTGTATCACTGTGTTTTTTCTGGTGTTTTCGTGCGCTCTTCGCTCGCTCTTCGCTTTGAGCCTGAGGTGCAGCTGCGCACCTCGAGGTGGAAAGCCTTCGAATCGCACCACGGCATCCAATTCGAAAAACAATGCCCAAATGCAACTGAACCCATCTGAACCCATCATCGGACCCCCCGACGCCAATCTAAACCCAGCCGTAGGCTCCAGCCCCAAAGTTTAAGCTTTCTGACTCCAAGCCCTAAGTCCATCTATACCCGGCCCGAAACCCCAAAAGGCAGCAACACCTTTGTTCCCTAGATGAATCCGCAGTGTTTGTAAGTGTTGAGCAAACTGTGTATTTTCCCGTTCGCCAAAAAAATCCCCGTTGCGCTGCGAATCGCATAGCGGCTGCAGAGCGCAGGATGTCCAACCCATTGAGCTGCGGTTGGACACGCTGAGCTGTTTTCAGCTGGCGCATTATGGCCTGGATTTGCTACGCAGGGCCGAGCCCCTCATCGCCTCCCATCCGCTTTTTGGACATCTGCAGCTGATGTTGAAGACGCATTGGAGGCCAGGGTTCAGCTTGCATATGTCTGTTGTTGCAAGCTATGACTCGTTACGACGTCACAGCCGTGTGACAGCCTGTTGCCACATTGGATTTACCGGAGGAGCGGTGGGGAGCAACTTCTACTCGCAGAAGAGGGTGAACCTGACGATCCAGTGCTTGGAGAACCTCCGTCGCTTGGCACAGACTGCAAACCCTATGGCAGGCATGAAGATCCAGGCAGAATGAGGTAGCCAGTGGCGCCTGCAGAGGTTACTGCAGAGGTGCTGAGCTACTAACAAGATCTAGCAAGATCCTCCTGTGAATTCTGTCGTCATCCCAATCCAATGAGGTGCCCTGAGGGTGATGACTTCAATGTGCCCACGCCTGTCTTCCTCAAGGAGTTGTGCACTGGTATGCAATGGACTCTTCAGCAGTGCCGAATACAGTTCCATTGCGGATGTACTTACTCAAGGCAGCCAAGTCTAGCCGGCATCCAAGGTTCGTGAGACGCATTCAGTTCTTCGTTTCTGTGCGATTCAACGGAAAGGCTGGGTGAGGTCAGTGTTGCGTGCTCAGCATCGCAACTTAGTCCTTGGTCCAATGCTGGCAGGGGGCCACCGATTGTCAGGGCAATGAAGCCTTACATGCCGTGGACATTTTGCTACGCAGCTTTGACTCGCAAATTATTCACGGATGGCTCCATGATGTTTGACTCAAAATTCACAATGGCAGCCGTTGCATGCCATGGGCTCCCCGCTAGAGAGAGCCGGATGTTGTTTGTACAGTGATGGTTTGGCTTGCATAGATCCCACTTCCTGCGCTCTGATGTCTCGGGGTTCGGGTGTTGAAGGTTGTTTCGGCAGACTTTCGATGAGGCTTCACAAGCGATGAGTCGTGCAGGGCCCCATGCGTTCGGCGGTTTTGGGTGTGGCTCATGTTCAGCAATTTCGCATGAACACAGTACATGCAGTCGTTCGAACAGACCGTTTGGTATGTATGATAATGTGACCGCGGACACCTTGTGAGTGTGAAGAAGTCGCACAACAGTGCCCCTTTCTGTGGCAACTTCAGTCCAGCAGTCCTGCATCGGAGTCTGGTACCTCGCAAGTTCGCAAGGCAAGCTGATTCCGTTCGACGTCTCACAAGCGCGCATTTCACTGGGACCGCAGCTTGCCTGCACGCTCGAATGTGGAGCAAGGGTAGGAGGTTGAGGGAAGGCAATGTGAGCCATGCCTGAAAGCTACATGCAGAGTTCAAACTTCGTTACTTCATTCTTCTGGCATCTTCCTACATCTTCCTACCTTTTACGAGTTCAGCTTTTGAGGTTCTTCCGTCGGCGTGGAGCAGCAGCTCCGAGTTCGCCAAGCTCACCATGGAGGCTTCCCACACGCGAAATCCCAAACCAGACATGTCTTACATACACATGCGTAAACATAAATATAAACAATTACATACATAGAGGTATATGCATGCACATTGAACATCCAGTTATTTTTTTATCAGTACATCACATTTCACTTCATCACAGGCGCCTGCTCCGATGCATTCCATGCATTGGGGACTCTGATGGCGATGAAGCTCGGCTGTGGTCAATATTTTTTGGGGAACCTAGCAGCCAGCCTCAGCCGGCGCAAGTTCAGTTCGAAGCGAGTCCCTGCTATAGCAATGTCGAATGCGCCAAGCCTCCAAGGCTTACTTGTCGGATGAGTTTTTGCCCCATGGCTTTCATGAGCTGTTGTCGGAAGCTGCCTCGGTCTCCGGCACGGCAGTCCTGCGACAGATCCCGCTCTTTGGCTCGTAGAATCTGGAATGGCATCTGCTTCAGCTTACCTCAGTTTGGCTGTTTGGCTGTTGCACTGAAGAAACACATGCTCTGCATTGGAGAATGTTGAAGCTATTGAGGAAGCTGCTGGGTGCCCAGCGGGTGCTGGGAAGTCCGGCGCAGCTGTGTGCTGAATTGAACCAGGCACTGCGCTTGGCACTCTTCGGTTCCCTGGCTGCACCCAAGACACAGACCATTGAGTTGATTGAGTTGAGAGCATGGAGAGCCTAGCTGGGCCTAGCTGAGAGGGCAAGACAGTTACTGGTAACAAGATGCTCACTCACCCGACCAGGGCTTAGGACCTCAGTTTTGTTCTCTCGGGGCACGTCTTGTTGCTCAGTCTTGTTGCTCTCAGTGTTTTTTGAGGCATTTGCAGCTGCAGCCCTTGGCTTTTGATCGCCGCACTTCTCACAGTGTTGGCCGCAATTCTGGAATCTTTTCCCCTTCAGAGTTAAAGTTTTGTCAACTTCAGGAGAGGAGCTTTTCCTCTCTTTTCATGTTCAGAGGTGTGAATGTGTCAGCAGATCCTCGCGATTCTGACGATTCTGAGCAGTCCGAGCTGAGGAGTCCGTTGAGGGCATCTTCATGATTGTTGCCAAGTGTCAAGACGCAGTCCAGAAGTGTTTTCATGCTTTTTTTTCTGGCGCTGGGCCAGTGACAAGGGCTGGTCAGCAGTAAGTCAGTGGGCATGCAGCAATGCCGTTTTGGGAATCGACCGGCCTAGGACAACCTGCCGCATCACTGCTGGCACTGTTCCCACTGGCCTTCGAAAAGAGCCTTCTGGTGTTGCAGGAGGGGGATCAATGACTGGATTGTGTAGGATCATAGCTGGGCCGTGAAAACTTTTCGGTTCGCATGCGGTTGGTGTTTCTTGGATAATTGGAGAAGTAGATGTTTTATACACGCACATGGATGTGGCCTTTCTTTGCGACCTCGCTTCTGCAGTAGCTTGGTTCTTCTTCAGTCCTAGTGGCCCTAGCACACGTGAGTTTTTGTCAAGGCAGGAAAGAACGCTCCATGACAGGTGCGCTCATGGATCTATTGTGGTACGGCTTCCCTTGGCATGCCCAGCAGTTATATCGAGAGTGCAGACGGCAGAGCCACATAGCTATCTCCGCCCACTCAGTCACCGAATCCGGTCAGCAGTGGCTGCGCTTTCTTTGTTTGGACCTTGGATAAGACCCCTAGTTAGATGCGCAATGCGAAACATGGCGTAGATCATGCATGCAAAGCACCCGCGATTGCTTTCAGGTCAGCCTGCGGTGCCTTCTCGAAGGAACCTGGCACTGCGTGTTCTCGGTCCTCTCTTCCAGCATGGTTATTGCGACTTGCATGGACTGGCATATACTTGCCCAATCTGCTGGACCAACGTAGAGAAGGTAGAAAGCCGAATCGTAGATGTTTTAAGTCTGTGAGTCTGTCAGTACTCCATGCTGAATCAGCACGTGAGGTAGCGAAACTCTTTCAATCTCTGCAGCTGCTCTTCCACACCCTGGCAGCCCGTCTTTGAAAGAACAACACTTGAGTTGCAGACGAGGAACGCGGAGCAAGAGTGAAAACACATGTAGACAGGGCAAGAGGCTGTAAACCAGCTTCTCCTAAGACAGAGATGCAGGGCGCATCAGGGCGTTCCAAGGCGCCACGTATGTTGGTCGGTCAGGCTGAAGCTCTCCTTCGGAGCGAGGCACCGTAGGCCGCGAGATTTGAAGACTTCCAGAGAATGGAGTATGTGCACTTGCGTGGCACTCAGAAGCACAGTGCAGCTAAGGCGCCACGAGGTAGCCAGGGAATGCCAGGATAGTCAGTTTTCCCATGTTCTCATGCTAATCTAGACACGTTTTAAATGCAGGCCGAAGCCAGGGCATGCCGCAGAGTCGAGGGAAACCACACAAGAGGCATATGGCAATCGGAAAAAGTAGCAGACCGACGAGAACACGTAAGCGCACATCGCTGTTTGACCATCTTGTCCAGGCATGGTATGTTTGTCCAGAACGAGTAGCAGAGCTGGGTGCTCCACTATCTCGGCGCGTGGGGCCTTTGCTATTTCACATTGGTTCGCCCCTGCAGTATTCGCACTCCGTGACCTCGATCATGGGTGTCGTGCACAGAGCCGTGAGGGGCACCCGCCTTCGTGACTGGCGCTTGCGGCACTTGCCTGGAGGTGATGGGTCCCTACTTGCCGTACAGGGCTCTGGCTTCTTCCTTGTGCGGTCAAGTGCCATCAGACGATGTGTACCTGCGCGAGAAGCTGATGTTTTTCTGACATGGCAAGCGCGAGGTAACTGGGAAAGAGTGGAACTGCGCCTTATTCGGCCTACTCTTAGGACGGAGAGCAACAGGCGCAACGAACTGCGCCGTCGCTTCATGCTGTGCCTTTATCGGAGGAGCGCTCCGTACTGCAAGGTGCTTCGACTTAGGAGCCGCCGAGCGGCTCTTTGCGCCTTCAGTTTTGTGCAGGCAACGCGGCAGCATTTTGGGGCATCTTCCTTCCAAGCGATTTACACTTTACACGACACACACACACATGCTAGCCGGGCCCTAGCCTGCACATCGTCCAACAGACCAATAAGCCAGGGGTCAGGCAGTTGACATTGGGCTGCTGGTGGCAGAGAGGGGCGGGCCAGTGTGAAGCTTTAACTTGGGGCTGCCAAATTTGGGATGTAGACCACAATGCCGCCCAACAGAGAAATGGGTCACGCGGAGAAAAAGTTGCCTGACAAGGGCGCCGCAACATTGTAATAGCAAAACTTATGAGTCAAAACTCAGGTAGAAACAGTTTTTAGGTTTTTCGAAATCGAAAACGTCCAAGACGGACATCTCGTCTTGGACGAGATGTGAGATCATTGTCAGTATCTTGATCGCATCTTGACGATCAATGTGCCAACAGACATTCGAGTCGGAGAACATTCGTCGGATGTTGTCCACGTTGCCATCGAAACTCAGTCATTGCGATACCTTGCATCTATTGAGAGTTGGACCAAGGAATGCATTTCTAACTGGGTGAGAGCCGAAGTACAGGAGGCCCAAATGGCTCCAGACACACCCAGGTTGCGGCTGCTTAGGCGGGTGCATCGATCTGCTGCAGTTCGAGCATCCAATGCATAGCCAGGCTGGATATCCTGCAGATCCAGTCTACATGTAGTTAGGCGAAGGGCAGGTTGTGACTTGACAGGTTCTTACCATTCAAGGTGTTTCGAGTGTTTTTGGCAAAAAAAAGCTGTATGAATGCCGCCTTCGCCTGCATGCCGGTGCCAGCATTGCAGCTGGCACATGACCAGGCAAAGGGCAGAGCCCTGCATGCGCTGTACAGCCACGAGCGCACACAGTTGCTGCTACTGGGTATTTTGCAGTCTGAAGCCGCAGGTTCGACTTTGCAACTCATGATGGTGTTTGGCATTCAAGGTTGAGATCCAGCGGTACAGACAGCGATGCTGCTCAAAAGCTGCGGCAGAACTTTATTGCAAGCAAGTCGGCTTAAGTGCTCGTTAGAAGGCACTGTAGAGGGAAGAGATTCGGTGGTTCTTGGGGGTTTTCGGAATGGCTTCAATAGGCCGTTTCAGAACAAGGTGGATGTCACGACCGTCATAGCCGTTACGCATGTTTTTCTCTTCTTCTTTGTAAGCAGTCTAGGCCCGAGTCTAGGCAGTCCTTCCTCATCCTACTGCCACTTTCTCGAAGACACAAGACGGCATGTGTGTGCCGATTTGCTTCATTGGTGCACGCAGATACCAAGAACACATGAAGGTGTAAGGCCAAGAGAGATGACTAGGTGTTCGTCACGGTCAGACGGTGATAGAAGTTTACCTTGGGATCTGTGCAGAATAGCGAATTCAATCCAAGTTCAATTCGAAGACTGTGCCTGGATCTGGTCGACTTTCAGGTTCCCCACCCCAATGTGCAACTCGTTGGCATCCAAATGATGCGGGTTTCGTTGAGTGGTGGATCTCGGACTGCACGATGCAGCCAATTTTCAAAAGATGCGACCGCTGCCATATCATCAGCCCCAATACCAGAGCCTCTCTTGAATACCACTGCCGCTTCTGCTATAAGTGTGCTCGGCCCCAATTTTGCTAAAGCTTCATCACTTTAATTCACTTTTGACCGCTTGCCAGCTCACACCATTTCCTCACATGTTTGCTCCACGCTTTTGCAAGACGAGTCTGTGTCTTGTCTGCTGTGCCAGTCGAGCTTCAACCCCATACGTCCAACACAACTCTCAGTAGTAACTGTGTACAGAAGTGCGCACAGTTGGTGCATGGGAATCTCTTGGTGCCCTCACAGCGGCTTGGGAAGTTCACCGGACTCTACGAGAGATTGCATGACGTAAGCGCTCTGCTTGCAGGACTTATCAAGCAGGGACATCCCGAGTTCCGCGCCGCTGGATCGCACTGCGCTGAATGTGTCACGTTGCACCAGTGTCACCCATGCGTGGAACTGTATGTCCAGGCAGACACTGCTGCATGCCCTGTGTAGCGAGGGCCCCAGCTGACGAGCTCATACTCCCCCACGTCCCCCACAAGCCTCGCCCGAAGAGTACGGGGAGTCCAAAACCGGCGAGTAACCTGTGAAAACATCAGCGTAGCCACTGAGCTTCCAATGGGTGGGCACGCACAGCGTTCCCAGACTTTCGGGTTTCGGGTTTGGATGCTTGAGATTGAAAACTTGTAGTATCACTTTGGACTTGGGCACAAGTAGGCTTCGTCAGCTCAAGGATTTGGGCATCTAAGTTTTGGTGCCTGGATTTGCCTGCACAGCCAAATAGCGCCAAGGAGATCTGGTGTCTTTGGCACATCTGTGCCGCCAGCGTGCCGCTGAAGATGATCAGAGATGGTGGCAGGCAATCTGACCCTCTTTGTTTGTCCCTGGCATCGTGGCAAGCCGTCTGCAAGCATGGCAGTAGAATCCTCTGTCTTGTTTGCCCGGCCGTTCCCATGAAGAACCATGCTGTACCGGCGAGCCTGCGAACGGGACACGAAAGGGAAGACTCGTGACCTAGTTTTGCTTAGAAATCCTGTTCGTTGCTGTCGCTAGATAGAAGGATTCCAGCCCAAGAAACGTTCAAAAGGGAACAAATGACACGTGGACCGGGGCTGTCTCTTCATCATTGATACGCTCACGCGGTTAAACGAGAGAACCATGAATTTGGGTATTCTTGACGTGTTCTGCCTTCAAAATCCTGAGGCCGTCCTTGTTGCTGTATCAATCCTTAGCATAGTGCGGGGCTTCGCATTTCAGAACGACTACGGCTGTACTCCCGAATCCTGGAGACGTTGCCAGGTTGGTGATGTCCTTGAGGCCCGGCGAGCTCCAGCTCGGAGTGGAATCAAATAAGAAGAGTCTCTTTGAAGGTCTCCACTTCGGAGTATCTCATGTCCTTGTGCTCACAGGTGATCCGAGACATGTTGCATGAGGAGGGCGGTGCGGAGCAGCGCTGCCGTGTTTAGATTTCGCGGCTACAGTGCTACGTATATAGTGTGTCTATGTAGGTACAATGTCGCTCTGTCCGATTCTGTCCTGAGAGAGGTTAATTCATGGAGTCGGAAGAGCATCTTAGAGCATAAACATGGCAAGTCAAGTGGTCTTGGCAGGTGGAGTGACGTCTCTGCTCGCCTGGCAAGGGGCCCGCCTCCGCAACACCCTCGACAAGGGTCACCCAGGCCGTCGAGGCCGCGGCAACGCATCTCCTTCACTGTGATACTTGCCATCTTACTGCTATATCTTGCTATGCGGCCGCGCCTGCGTGCCAATGTGAAATTGACTTGAGACAAATTGCATTGTTGCAGAGTTTCAGGGATTCGCCTCGTGCTGGAAGGAAGGATGCCGCGGCTGATGCTGGCGCGGTGGGTGCGGCTGGCGCGGTGGGTGCGGCTGCCCCGGTGTGTGCGGCTGCCCCGGTGTGTGCGGCTGCCCCGGTGCACACACCGGGCGCAGTGGGTGCAGCTGGCGCGGCTGCGGATACAAACCCGGTGGCGGGCACTCGCCGCAGGAGTTTGGCAGAGGTGCATCTGTAAACTCCTGACATGTTGATGAAACATGTGCGAAACCTTTGCAGGCTGCTAGCATGGCCTTCTCGGTCATGACTGGTGGGCTGTTCTGGTGCCACCTGCAGATTTGTCAGAATGCCAGCAGTTTTGAGAAGGAAGAGAGTGTAAAATGGGGAAGTGCACTGTGTACCCCGTTACCGGATGACGGGCCGCTGCCCATGCGGCCCTCCGGGGCTCCTCTCAAGCCAGTCAGAAGAGAGACGGCATCATGAATCGGGCAGCAGTGCTGCAGTCGGGGGGAGGTCAAATGTCGAAGTTTGACAAAAGCCTTCTCGACAAGGGCGCATCCTGCGCGCGGGGAGGTTCGTCTCCCCATTCCCGGCAGAAATCGAAGCAACAGAAGAAGAAGAAGCAGCAGAAGTATGATAAGAACAGATGAGCGGACAAGCCGCAAAGCCCAAGTGTACCAGACAGGTCCATGTATCTTCCGGACTTCCGGATGCAGCAATTGCACACGAAATCCCTAGTGCACAGAATGTCGAAATATCTCAGTTCTCGGACTTCTCGAAATATCTTCAAGTTGAACGACGTTTGAGCATGATGGCATGCTGCCTGGTGTATGAAGCTGCCCAGAATCTAGATTTGAGCTGGAGCTGGAGCTTCGGTGGGGTTCGCGGTCCAGCTGGGTCTTCTTCAGGCCTCGTAGAGCCAGACATCAAGCAGCATGCTGTTCACAAACTTGGCGGATTGGCAGCCAGGCAGAGTAGCAGCGAGGAACCGACGCCGGCGCGGGACGATGAGAAAGAGAACGACACCGATCGCACGCGACCCAGGATCTACTCGAGGGCTTTCAGATCTGGCCAGGGGGGCCATGCTGGCTGCATTGAATGTAGATGAGAGTAGAGAGACAGGGCACGAGGAGAACGGAGAGAATATGGGAGAGAGAGATGATACTCCCAGAAGATTTCGTCTGAGCACCTCTGACGGCCCCAGGAAGCATTCAAACCCCAACAAGCCCTCCGCTTCACCACCAACCGAATTGCTTTCCAAGCCCCTAGAAGCCCCAATCGGGGAAGCCCACTTGTGGGTTACGCCTTCGCTTGCAGGAAGGGCAGGAAGGGCAGGAAGGGCAGGAAGGGCAGGAAGAAGGGCAGGAAGGGAAGGGGAAGGGGGAAGGAAGGGAAGGAAGGAAGGAAGGGAAGGAAGGGAAGGAAGGGAAGGAAGGGAAGGAAGGAAGGGAAAGGGAAGGAAGGGAAGGAAGGGAAGGGAAGAAGGGAAAGGGAAGGAAGGAAGAAGGAAGGGAAGCAAGGGAAGCAAGGGAAAGGAAGGGAAGCAAGGGAAGCAAGGGAAGCAAGGGAAGCAAGGGAAGCAAGGGAAGCAAGGGAAGCAAGGGAAGCAAGGGAAGCAAGGGAAGCAAGGGAAGCAAGGGAAGCAAGGGAAGCAAGGGAAGCAAGGGAAGCAAGGGAAGCAAGGGAAGCAAGGGAGATGGAAAAGAAGGAAGAGAAGGAAGAGAAGGAAGAGAAGGAAGAGAAGGAAGAGAAGGAAGAGAAGCAAGAGAAGCAAGAGAAGCAAGAGAAGCAAGAGAAGGAATCCCACCCCAGGCTTAAGGCACCTGTCGTCAAACTTTGGTCCGGGGCGAAATGGAGAAGGGGCCCGAGTCACGACAAGCCTTAACTTCGCCGTGGGCCGTGGGAAGGAGGACGAAGGAGGACGGAGAGGTCGCCACACAGCGTTGGATGTTAAGACAATCTAAGAAAAACGAGTGAAAGTTCCTGGCCTTGCACAATCCTGCACACGTGCAGAGCAATGGGCAGAGGTTTGTGCGCGGGTGTCAAGTCAAGAGGTGCGCAGGCTGGACATACCTGGGACCTGGAAGCAGGCAAATGCTGCTCAGCCCGAAGTTGTATCGGGCGTTGTTCGCATGGTTAGGAAATCGTTTCTGCTGTGTCGAATCTCCGCACAGCTTTGCGTAGGCGTAGAGGGTCGAATAAGGCAACGAGAAGCCTCCGCAGAGCTCTGTACCATGTCCCTACTCCTCTCTTCTACAACGTTTCGTTGCAAGCTGCAGCTCTGCTCATTTCAACATGCCGAAGATGCTGCTACATTGTACGAGCATGTGCCAGTTGTGTCCAACAACACACTCGTGAATGTCACACTTGTGAACGTCATACTTGTGAACGTCAAACTGTCGCACTGTCCATCTCGGCTTGTGCATTTACAGTGCAAGAACATGCAAGAACGATGCGTGCCTCTGAGGTTGCAAGACCTCTCAAGCTGAGGAGGTAACTGCATGGCACCAAGACTCCCAAAGCAAGCTTCGACGGCAGGCTAGTGTGTTGGCATCCAGTCGGATCTATCACGTTGCCACGTTTCTTCAGGTGCGGGCATCTTTAATCCCTGAGCCTGCATTGTGCGCGTCTCAGCAATGTCGGATGCAGCTAACGGATTACGCTTGCTGTGTAGATTGATGCGAGACCAGATGCTGCGCTGGCTGCCGAGGACAGACCGAAAGGTCGAGATGCCGTTGAAGGACAAGGATATAGAGTCTCCGTATGCTCAAAATTCTTGAGCCAATCGTTGGTTATCTTGGGGATTGTCAGGAAGCTGTGCGGCCACATGGTCACGAAGCCGAGGCAAGTGTTGGAGCATCTGCTGAGCTGCCCAGTGTTCTGACGTAGTTGTAAGAGGGGCGGCCGAGTTTGCCCCCAGCCCCCCGCCACAGTCGACTCGCTGAAGGATGTGTCCGTCTTCCGCCGACCCGATTCAGATTCAATCTGCATCCGACCCAGTACTGCCATGCCAGGCAGCAGTTCTGACTCCGCCAGTGGCTCGTCAATGCCAGGGTGCTGTGACAGAGGCAGGAAATGGCTCGGAGCTTTTTGTGAGGAGGCTCATTACTTTTGCAATCTCATTGCACTCATCACATTTTAAGCCATTTTAAGCCATAGGCGTGGAACAGGTCCTCCCAAGCCTCACAGCACATTCCAGGTGCGTACTTCAGGAGAAGCTTTCGCAGAGGCAGGCTATGGCAGACTGGGCAGGGACACGAGTGTTGTGTATCTGGCTCCATCAGGTTGGTTCCATGAGGGCGGTGGCGGTTGTCTTGCGTCAAGCACAGGTACAATATCTGAGCTCACCCGTGCAGAAGCAGTGCTTTCAAGGCACACAAAACCAAACAACCTTCGGGAAGTGCCCTATCCAGACCAGGGCACAAAGGCCCGGCACAAGTGCAGCCAGACGTAGGGGCTTCTGAGGGCGAACCTGGAGGAGGCTCGGGGCCCTTCATGCTCAACAGTCAATGAAAGGTGAGGCACCCCAAGGCACCCAGGACCGCGGAAGCTAGCGCGGCAAATGCTAGGTGGCTGTCCACGGTTTTCTTTAAGCAGGATCTCCATGCCGGGTTTTGGTGTGTTCGAGGAGTCTTCTTGGGCTTGCTAAGGGGCCCTTGCATTATGCCATTATGAACCCACTCGAAGAAGCATTGCAAACGGGCGGTTCCCCCACTTGCTTGTTTTTTGTCATTTTCGGTTCAGGACGTGCGCGCACGTGCGCACGCGCGCGCACGCGCGCACGAGGCCGTGGCCCGCAAAGGACAAATTGCTCTATTGAAGCGTGACCTTGAATTGCTTGCCTGTAGCCTCAGCCCCTCTGTACGCCCCTTTTGGAAGAGCAGGCAAAAATCCAAATTTCCGCGCATTCTTCGCGAGTTTGTTCATGTCAAACGGCTGAAGCTGCTACATGACAAGCGCGCCCGATGGGAATGTGTTCGGAAAGCCGCGCAATCTTGGCGCCTTTTGAAATCTTGATGCAGGGTAGGTCGTTGCTCTCTGCTGCATTGTTGCTTACCGTGTGGAATCTGAAGCATTATTTGGATGTGAAATATCATTCTGTTTTACGCCGAGACGCTGGGATTCCACAGACGTCCGTATCGACCCTGAACCTTGGAAGGTGTGAGGAGCAGCAAGGCAAATTCAGCAAGTGGGAACTTTAGGGTCAGAGCCGGACACCTACAGAGTGTGTCAACGCCTGGAACACCAACAGCCTTTCAGCCCGTTCAAATTCTCTGAACCGGACAAGTTTTGGTTCTAAGGAATCATGGCGCCCTGCGTAAGTTGTTGCCAAAAAGCTCTGAGAGCCAGCGGCATACTTTCCGATGTAGAGATTTGTGAATAAATGTCATTGTCGTTTTTCGTCCTAATCCCGCTTCATATCGAGATCTCTTGTATGTAAGTCCCCAGACGTTGGCAAACCGACTCCAAGCTACAAACCCTAGAAGCGGTGGTAGTCCTCAGCAAGGAGGCCAACAAACACGGCATTCAGAAAACTGGCAAGGCCATCAAGGCTGCAAGGCTCCCAAACATATACCCGCAAGCCCAGAACCTGATCCAGATGGTAAGCCTGGCAGGCCTTTTTCCTTTCTTCAATTCCTAAATTTTAAACTTTCTACAGGGCGCATCCTACTCAGTCAGAGAATTCGTTTCGCCAATCGCTCTACGGATTCTAGTTGGACCGGCGTGCCAGAACGGTCATGCCAAAGTCATCGCAGGTCCTCGCATGCATGCGGTTGTCGTACATGTGTTCTTTTGGCCGGGAACATCCTTTCTAACTTCAGGTGAGGTGTGATTTTAAAGCTGCATTTATCTGGAGCGAGCATGGGTCAAGCCTGGACGACGATTCTGGATTTCGCCTGGTTCAATCTCATTCCATGTTTTGCAGGACTCAAGTCTTCGAATGGCCAGAGGCGGACAGGCATGTTTAATTTTTGACATCATGCCACAAGGCAGTAGGCTTGAATTTTCAGTGGCTTCATTGAGTGTGAGCTGTCTGCCAACTTGTGCTATCTGCCACGCAAACTGGCTGGACAGGATTCGGCAAATCAAGGGTCCCTAGTCTAGCGGTTGAGAAGCACACACGACATCACCCGACCAAGTGTCATGCGTGCACCGTGTTTGACAATGCTCAAGGTTCGAGTGTCTGAATGCAAGTCAGGTGGCCGCGTCAATGAAAACTGAGGTGCGCACGTGAGTAAAGCATAGTACAGCTTCAGTTAAGACGAGTGTCGGCCACATGTAGCATTCTTGAAGACTTATTTAGGACCAGGATGGTGAGATGGCAGATGCAATGGCGCTGTCCAGTGATTACACACTGCCACCCAAAGATTCGGTGTTTAGTACACTCCTGCGAGGCTTGAAAACATTTTCGGAGGATCTGCAAGTTGGGGCCACTGACTCAAGTGCCTTGGGCTATGGCTGGGCACAGATGCCATCTGCAGCACGAATTGCTGCGCCTCAGCTCCTCCAGCCAAAGCCGCCAACTCTGGCACTTACGCTTCGAACCAGTGACCGTGATCCAAAGCCAGCGAAGACGGCAAGAGCGACGGCGACGACGGCGAGGACTGCGAGGGAGATCGCAAAGGAGACCCCAAACAGTTCAGCCACACACTTGCGCCATGCGAGAAGGCCGCGGTCAGCTGGTGCGCGTCAGTCCTTCCAGCGCTTGCCGAAAGAGTGTCAATCACCACGGCAGGGATTGCCTCGCATGCCTCGTCCTGAAGCTTCCCCGGAGGGGCAGCCCAGACGGCGAGGCTCCTTCACTTCCCACGAGGCTCCAGCCAGCCAAGCTGCAAGCCCCTTAGCTTACACACTTCCTCCTGCAAAGTCTTGCCGGCAGCGCTCGCAAAAGAAGATTTCCTCTTGCGTAGACTCAACGCCCCCTGCAGAGAGAAAGAAAATGGCAAGCACGGCACCTCCGCAACATTCAGCGTGGGATTCCTTCGATTCGAGATCACAGGGACCGTCCAAGACCAAGGGCAAGCCTACTGAACAACCACAAGCTGCACAAGCTGCTGTACAAGTTGCTGCATATACTGCACAAGCTACTGCACCAGCCGCTGTGCCAGCTGCCCAACCTGTCCGACAACCTCAGGCCCAGCGAGGTGCAAACGCAGACACGGTCGGAAACGCTCTGACACAAGAGGAAAGAGATCTGAGTTCCAGTAGACTCCAGAGCACCAACAAGACAGTAATTGGCACACAAGCGCCGCAAGTCTCCCCACGCATGAAGTTGCCATCAGTGGCCAAGCCACCGCGGATGATGGAGGATTTCGTTGCCCAATCGAGTCAGCACTTGCTATCCCTTCCGGGAACGCCGCAACTCACGTGGCGAACTCTGGATTCCGAGTCTGACTATCGCGAGCTCAAGCAAGGTGAGTATTTCAACCACTTCTTTCACAACAGGGCGCTTACAACCAAGGCGGGTCTGGCGCAGTCTCTGAAGGAACGGTCTATATCTGGTGGTGTCAATGCCGACACATTCTTTCCACGGTGTTATGATATTGCCCAAAAAAGTGAGAGAGATGATTTCGTGCTCGACTACCGGCGTTCTGCTGCACTACGAATTGCCCTGCTGCATCAGCGGCTGCATCGAGACCAAGAATCAATGCAGCTTTCTACGGGTGCCACGTACTCGTGCAACGAAACAGTGCTGCTTGCATGCAAGCGAGTTCTTCAGCGATGGTGCTTGGATCTGGATCCCGAACATCTGGATGAAGAGGGCAGTGACGGACAGCAGATGTGCGAAGACCCTTGGAGCATCAATGGAAGTTTCGAGGTTAGGTAATCTTAGGTAGCTTAGGTGTCTGAGGTGTTCTCACTTTGCAGAGGAGAACGGTAAATCACCACGATACGGAATTTTCTACGGACTGTGCCCGAGGACCTCTGGGATGCACTGGTGCTGTACAGCGAGCTTACGCAGCCGGAGCTGTGCTCAGGCATCGCGAACGCGGCGAACCTACGTATTCAAAGGCGTGCTTTGATTCGACCCGGAGGCGGTGACTTAAAGAATTCTGAGGAGACGCCGCGGAGCTCTGTGGAACGGTCTGAACGGAGAGAGCGCCCTGGCATTTTGAGAGAGTGGCCGGAGTTTGTTAGCCATTCCTGGGGGCGACTCGACAGCGGCTCGCAGTTGGCGCTCGAGCAGGTACTGGAGAAACTTGAGAAGCTGTTTCCGCAATGGCCGCTTGGCTTTGTTTCCACATGAAAGAGAGGGGAAACAACCAAAACAGAAGTGTCTGAGCGCCCTGGAATTGGAAGGCATCTGTTGAGGAAAACGTTAATTTTGAGCTTTAGCCCGGTTTTGGCCGCATGCAGGGGAGCAAACTGAATTGTCAAAGGGTCCACTTAAGCCTCGCGTAGCTAGTGGCTTCTGGTCGGCAATCTGGTAGTGGTTTGGATGCAATGTTCCTTCGGAGTCTGGGAGTCCGAAAAAGGAGTGGAGTGGACAGGGACCGAGCCAAAGTCTAGTCCAGCGAAAGCAGGAGAACCTCCCGCCGAACTCCTCCAGGATCAAACAGCGAGACACCAAGAGGGGAAGACCAAAACCAAACCCGGCAGCCAACAAACTTTGCCACGAAGAGGTCGACTGCGACCCACGGGCCCCGCGAACTCACAACCACCGGCCCCTGCCTCTTGGGTGCTCGTCGGACTGCACAGGGCAGAGTCAGCCCCTTGGGGTCACAGAGTCGCAGCAAGGAGTTGCAAGCGACTCAGTCCGAAAAACGATATGCAGGTGATCGATGCTGACAATCTGCTAGTTCTCTCTTGGTTCCAAAAGGAGACCCGGACCAAGCACTCGAAGCCAAGCCCGTGCCCATCGAGCAGTGGAGCATCCCTGTACTGCCTGGAGCTGCCGAAGTAGCTACAAAACCCCTACGTTTGATCACTAGGGTTGCCGAAGAAGCCAAAAGCTCATCGATGTGCCTTTATGCATAAAATGAGCCTCTCCATGAGCTCCACAATTCTGTATGCAGTTGTGCGGCAGTGCGGGATTTTTGCGGAATGATGGCGACAACAACCTGCAGTTTCAAAACGCCTCAACTCCGCAGCTAAGGCCTTTGCATGGAAGTTGGTCTGGGCAAAACGTTTGGATTGTGAAGCCGGGCACGAATAGCAAAGGGAATGGGATTCATTGCATGAGCAACCTCGCGGAGCTGCTGCATCATTGCGACCGAATGCCGAACCGACTTGTTCAGAAGTACATTGAGAGGCCCCTTCTCCTCTTCAGTGGCCGCAAATTCGACATCAGACAGTGGGTCTTGGTGAGATCGGTCCGTCCACTGAAGGTGTTCATGTTCAGCGAATGCTATCTGCGCCTCTGCAATGGCATGTATGACCTCGGCGATTTGCGTGACCGGGAGCGGCACATCTCAAACTGGCAAGTGAACAAGACACCGAGCTGCACTTGAGGAAACACTTGCCATCACCCCCACAAAGCCAGGGCATTCGCTCAAGACAGCACGTTAATGATTCTTTCTGTGTCACTTGAGGCACGGTAAAAATGTCGTGGAGGGCGCCGTTGTGTCCTTAGAAGACTTCCGAGACCAGCTTTGTGAGCTGACTGGCCGCCAGGACACGGCACTTTGTAAATCTTTGTACCGAGTCACACAAAGACATTATCCTGAGATCCGGGGTATATGCTTGTGCCCTTCCAATTGTGTTGTGTTTGCAATATCGATCAGAGAGTTTCGCAGTTAGTACACGAGTCCTATACGTATCACGGCAGAGAATGCGTCACAAGCTTGGTCCAGTCCTCTTCGAAATGAGAGATCAGTTTCTGCAGCAAACCATTCGCTGCAATTCTTGTGAAGTTGTGCATCTGTGTATGGCTCGTCATGAGTGCATGTATGCAAAGCAAATTAGGGTCTCGTAGAACCTTCTAGGTTTCCTGTGCAGTGTGTTTGAATCACTTCCCTGGAGTGCATCATGCACGAAGGCAGCCTAAAGTACCAATCCCAGCAGACCTTCGTGAGAGCGAAGCCTCAGTCCTGTTCCGCACCAGCTTCTGAGCCACTACTAGGACTATTGGGAGACGGTCCTACTGCCAGAGATCAAGCAAATTGTCGTCGAGGCGTCTGACAAACCTTCCCAAAGCGCACTGACATGGAGAGTGTGTCGATGAATGTCGAGTCTTCGAAAGTCACCCCGGGAGTACTCGCAGAACCATGAATGGCTCATGCCATTTTCAGGTAATGCGCTCGGTAGATGCCAGCCTGCAGCCCCGAACGGAGAGCTTCGAGCTCTTCGGCTTTGACCTCATGGTGGACGAGGAGTGTCCTGTGCGTGAGGGTTCGGCTCCACCGGTTCTTCCTGTGACCCTCGAGTTTGTGGCTGGGTTTGGGGATGGTTTGGGGTTTGTGGTGCGTATCACATCTTATCACCAGCTGCCCCTTCCATATCTTCTCTTCCCGTGGGTTTTTCAGGCGATGAAGCCTTGGCTCCTCGAGGTGAACCTTAGCCCTGGCTGCGAGAGCCGCGTGTTCTTCCCTAAGCGCCCACACACTTGGTGAGGCTTTGTGAGATTTTGCGTTGATCTTTCCGGCCCTTAAGTCGTTCTCCTTTGGAGGAGGGAGTCTTAAGTTAAGAAGTCTTATTGGAGTGATCACTTCCATAAATGTCTGGCACAGATTGAGGTCGTTCCTCGAGCGGATGCTGGCTCGCATGTGCGGGCCTCTTTGCGTGCAGCGCCTTCTCATCACAGCTCCGCTGATTAGCTCCTTTATGACTTCCATCATCAGTTCCCCTTTCCCTTTCATCAAGTTTATGGGTCTTTCTTCTAATGGCCCATGGATCATCTTAATATCCATCTTCATGAGCTCTCTGATTTAACGAGTCCGTGAATGAATCTCATAAACTCAGCGGCCGTCCCGTGAATCCAATGAAAAGAAAAACATAGAGACCCTTGACGATGATTCCGCAGTTAGCCCATTAATTCCTTTCCCTTGTTCATCAGGTATTTGCTATTGGATTCAAGAACCGGTCCAATTTTGGTTCTTATTTCCAATTTCCAAGTGTATTAACCGCAGATCAAGCAAAGACCGCTCATAATCCACCTTTTTAATCGGCGGTTGCGTCCTGCAAATGCAAATGGGCCTGTAATGATAATACGGGTCAGTGTGCTCAGGACTCGGCGCATGATTGAGGCGTGCGGGATGCTGGGCTTCACGTGTGGTACATGGTTTGACCAGAGCACGGCTGCTGGGGAATCCATGTGCATCCTGTAGTCACTGTAGTCCGTGTGTGCAGAAGTCTGGCAGGTTGCAGTTCTCGGAAAGGAAGATCCGGATGGGGACTGACTGACCGTCTTTGCTGGGCTAAGGGGCTTCGGTAGTTCGTGTTACTTAGTTACTTGTTGCTGAGTACGAGGCGGGGTGTTTCCACCCCAGTTGGACCTTCGGTGTCAAAGAGCAGCTTCGAGCAGCACTTGTTGAGCCACAGGCGAGTTCCTGAACTAAAGCTACTTTCTGGGGTATTCAGAATCGGTGCCGAGTAGGGCTGGTTGGGCCTGGATAGGCGGGCGTTCAAAGCAATATGGTTTTGTCTTCCAACAGCTCTTGAGACACGTGTTAGACCTCCTTTGCACACGAGACAATTCTTGTCTGTGTCCAGAGCAAGCGGGTCCGAAAGGAAATGCCTGACTGGATCAAGATTTGTGATGACACTGCCGGCCTGTTGCCCGGTCATTCTCGATCTAGTGAGCTACATGAGGCACACAAATCCAACATTGGACCACTTCAGGCACACAAGAGATCAATGCAAGTCTGGACACACCCAGGCCCGCGCGGAGATAGTTGCTGCAGACCCAGCTGGGCTATTGTTCTTTTGTTGGTTCGCTGGTGCCCAGGCCATGCGCCGATTTAACAATCCACGGAACGCCGCTTGGGCCTGAGCTTTTTGAATCACTTGAGCACTGAGAACTGCTTCTGGAGGTTGCCGGATATTGCCATCTCTGCAGTTGCAAGTAGAACACAAACAGCTGACTGGGGCAAGCGAGGCTTCGGCCACGGCGTGCTGTGGCTGGCAGCAGGGATCCGAGCAAGTGCAATCTTTTGGGTGGGGGTTCTGCTGTTCTTGAACACGAGGTGTCCCACTGCGGCCAGTCCATCCATCCCAAGAGGCCAGAGGAGTCCACATGCTTAACGTGAGCTTGGTAATGAGCAGCATGAGCGGTCTGTAGTAGTCGAGGGACATGGGGCATGGACCAAACAGCTGATAATTAATGGGCAAAATGGTTTTTGTTCACGGCCCAATAGAAGTCACTTACAGGGCCGTGAGAATAGTGCCAACCAAAGGGCTTAAAAAAAGTTGATAACATGCAAGTGAGTTTAAGAACGAGCGCTCTTTCGGTTATTAAGACGACCGCAACAAGCCGCTCTAATTCTAGCAATACAAATTGGGGGGTTGAAGCGAGCAAAAATCTAGACAATTTTCACTTCGCAGACATGATTGGGCGTCATGACTCGGGGAGGAGCAGGGCGCTCCTGGAGGGCAGAGACGATTTAGGGCAGTTTAGGGTTTATACGGTTTGGGGCTTTGGGTGTATATGGTGTACCAGGGTCGATCAGAACCTCACAAATGGAAACCCTTCACGCCTTGCTTGATGACTTGCGGCATCCTTTCTGCTATCCTGTCCACTGACCGATGCCTCCACCCGCACTGACACAAATCAAGCACTCTGTGCAGGTCATGTCCCCCCTCCCCGCCCAGCGCCCAGATCGGAACCATCAATAATGCCATTTCGCTTTCGTCCCTTTTCTTTCCCGCCTTTCCGCTTCTCTTTCCTGCCTACAACTTTCCAAAAGATTGTTGGGGGGTTAGTGCTGCAGGCCGCGGATTTCGTTTACCACTGTATTGCCTCTTTGAATTTTCGCTATTTGATCATGTGTTCGTTGTTAGTTGTGTTTTTGCCTCTCTCATGTCAGTGTGCTTCGTTTCGTACCTAAATGACTGTGTTCTTTCCTGGGAGTTGAAAACGCACTGCAAATACATCAGCATCTTCAACAGGGACTCCAGCAAGTTGTTTTCCACTAAAATGAAAAAGTCTTTGTTTATAGCTACCGAACCATGACCTTTCTCGAATTTCAGGTTTCGTGCTCCATGACAGTAAGCATTTCAAAAATGTAGCTCGCTTCCTTGTGCTACTATGAATTTTACACGGGCCCACCTTGATTTGTTAATCTTCAACTCTTATGCTAACTGCAAGAAAACAAGAATAGTATCCTTACATATATATATATATATATGTATATGCACTTAAAAGTGTATGCTAGAAAGCGTTCAAACGGGTTTTCTGGAGATCTTTTTCGTAGTTGGATCTAAATGGAAAGTATGATGCCACCTTGCACGTCAATGAGGGCCGGCGCGTAGTCAAGCTGCATACAGCGGTAACATCTGCTTCGATTTTCTGGGGGGAAGGGGAATTGGGTTGCAACTAGAAACCGAACACATTCATGAGCCGAGAAGCACCACTAAGCGCAAGAACCACGCATGGGTAGTTCTCCAAAGTAGGGTCCCTTTTTGAGTCCCCTATATACCTTCTCAAAAGGACCCCCGAGAAGGGCCCCTGAATTGAGAGAGCTACCACACATGCAGCCGAGACGCCCCCTGGTCACACACACACACACACACACCTCCGAAACGCTGTACAAACCTTCAGATTTTAAAACCCTAAAACTTCGACAGGGGGTCTTCACAACTTTGAAGATATTCTTTTTGTGTTTAAAGGGACCTGAACATGTCTTTCTAAACACTGAAACTCACAAGTCCCTGACGCCGTGGCCTCCCAAAGAGTTCCCGGAGCTTTGTTGAATTTCTTGGAAATTTCCAGAAGTTGCTTGAAGCCCTTAAAAGTTGAAAAGCAGGCTTCGAACAATTGGGACTTCAAAAGTTTCCGACCTTTAGCTTAAAACCTAACTGGGAAGGTGAAAAGGTCCGGAAAATCCCAACCACCAGGGTGCCTGGTGATTTTGAGGGTTTTAAAAGGTTAAACGGGGCCTGATTTGTAAGAATGCCTAAACTTAAACCTTTGAAGCATCTCTTTTCAGAGTTAAGAATTTTTACAAGAGGTCTGTTGTTTTCATCCTACAAATTTGAAAGTCCCTGGCGCCCTGGCTCTAAGGGTTCCCAAAGCTCCTTACATTTTCGAAACCCTTGTAAATTCTCAAAGCCCGTTTAATTTAGACATGCAGGTTTCGAAATATGAAGGTTCTTTTTCAAAAAAGAAGAGGCCTGAGAACTTTTCGAATGTTTAGTTTTTGTTGAAGGATCTCTTTCGAAATTTCATGGGCTTTTAATTTGTAAGATCCTTAAAGCATTGAAAGCATCATCGATCGCCGGCCCTATCGCCAACTAGCACATACAGGTCCTACGTACATGGGGATGTACGGAGTCTCTGGCTCATTGTTTCGGTTAGGTGTGCAACCTTGAGATTCAGGCTGGGCAACATGTCAGTCGTTGTTGGCAGAGCGTGAGCTTTAGCTGCTCATGACCGAGTGATCCACAAGAAGTGCTGTATCAACACGGCAGGCACAGCAAGCGCACTGCGGCTCACAGATCGAAGAAGACGTTGGTCGCGATGAAACGGTTGGCGTTTCCAAGGCTGCAAGTTTCGACAATGACTGGCAGATTCAGGAGCACAGCAGGGCATAGCAGGGCGATGGTGTGCAGATGAGACAGACTACGGCTTCTCAGCAAGGGTGCCGTCATGAGGAGTCAGAAGACAGGCCCAAAGAAGCCAGTTGCTCAGAGGCATCTGACCACCCACAGCCTCCTCCGTCGGCCAGCCACAGCCCGAAAGGGCACTGGTTTCTTGCATGCCGAGGATGCGCACAACTTGGCTGGGGCAGATCATGATGGCGACAAGGATGACAATATCCAGGAAGAGGACTCCATGATGCTTTCTTGGAGTGCTGTGCTTGATTTTGCCAGCATACAGCAGGCATGTGACGAAGAGCCCAGAGCTGTGTCCTTTGCCACGTTTGCCACTTCTGCAGAGGCCAGAGCCTGCTCCAAGAAACAGTTTCGGAGCTTGCGGTTGTCAATGGTTGTCATTTCATGCCGTTGGTGTTCCCTGGATGATTTCTGTGGTTTTCTACTGTTGAACATGTCTGCAAGGCTTGCGTTTTGGCCTTGGCATTGACGCCGTTTGTCTTTTGAAATCCTGTGGCAACAGGCAGCATCTTTCAAGAATGAAAAAGCGTTGCTTTTGTCAACGCAGACAGCGACCAAAGGCAAATAGATGGGTTGCAGCTGTGCCAATCAGATACGTGTAACAGTAACAGATACCAGCCTCAGAGGGATGTCAGCCTGTCAGCCTCAGAGTCTTGCAATTCAAAAGCATGGAGCTGACAAGTATGGCAAACACGTGACTGCGTCCCAGTGGTGCCCTGATTCAGCGATGTCATGCACGGCATGCTGATCCAGCTGCCAGTGCACGCCAACACATCGTCCCAGCGCCAGTCCCATGCATGGGCGAATCGGTGCAAGCGGCTCTGAATCTGGCCGGCATGGCACAACAGAATTGGCAAAGCTGGCGAGACGGGCTTCATCTGTGTAGTCGGAGTAAGGATGTAACCGGCAATGGATCGTGGTGGTGCAGGGGGTCCCAAACTCAGAACTGTGGAGGTGCAGGTGGTGTAATACTGTAACGGCAAAACATGGACAACAGCGGGCGCCGTGGGCCGTGGAAAGCAAGGGGGGCCGTTTCTCCCACAGCCCGAAATTTGCTTTCGGTTGTAGCTCTTGGCCTTGAGAAGCAATTGCAACTTCATTTCAGAATTTCAAATCGCATGTGACACTTCTCACTCCTGTCTCTTGTCTATGCTGGATGTATGGATTGCTTGGCCATCCGCGCTGCAGGAAGGCAAAGGCAGAGCAAAGGCGACGCTGACGCGCTTGCGACTGATGCTTTGCAAAGTGTACTCCGGTTTTGGCGAGGACTTGGGCCGGAAGGGCACAGGATTTTTATGGAAAGAAGATGTGGCGAACCTCGTACAAGAGGAAGAGGACGAGGAGGACGAGGAGGAGGCCGGTTTCAACAGAAGGCTCTGTTTGCTGCCACGCGCCTGAGTTTCCCCGTGGAAGGAGGGAGCTGCAAAGAGAGTTGCCTTCGAGAGGTCGGTAGAGGAGGCATGCCCGTCATGCCCTCGTGTGCGCGATGTTGCAGCTACCGCGACGGCGATAGTCGAAACGCATGACAAAAATCATCAACTAGAGTCACTAAAGCGCCAACAGACCATACAGATTGCTGGAGGCGAGGGCAAGTTCCACAGTAGCAGCGGCACTGCCTCTAACTTCGTCGTGTATCTGCGCACTGCCTGCGGGCGAGTGAGTGGTCTGGAGATCGCAGGCTAAATCCGAGCAGAAGGGAGGACCGGTGGTGCGGGCCCGAAAGCACAGCTTTGCTGCGCGACAGATGTTGCAGTCCGGGCGTTCTGTTTTTCTAATGTCCGTGCCTAGCCAGGCGCGCAAAGGCACAGGTTTCGTCGACATGGCCGAGCTGCCCTCAGAGGAGGCCGCCTTTGCATCGCATGGCTTTCCTGCGTTCACACGCGTTCTTACGCACATTCATGCCCCGAAGCAGGAGGAGGAGGAGGAGCCTGGCGGGCAAAAGCACGTGGCCTTCGACCCTTCGGCGCAGGCACGGGAACAGGGTACCTTGTGCGTGCGGGCTCTCTTGTTTTTCTTGTAGGCCTGCCGCTGGTACTCGTAGGGACGGATCACGTTCAACGTCGTTCTACTGGGTAATCGCGGCAGAAGTCAGACACGAGTGCATGGCATGGGTGAGTGGGGGCTTGTGCGCCAAAACGTGTCGGGTGACCACAGGCCGGCACAGATGCGGGTCCGGCAGCCGCTTGCCCACAGTTTCGGCGCACATGCCAACTGTTGCAATTGCGGCAGCAGGTTGTTGGAAAGGGAGGCACATGGTAGTTTGCATGGAAACGCCCTACTCCTGATGCCGAGGTGCGGCGGGGCACTGGCTTCGTCGGCGCTGCCGATTTGCCCTCTGATGAGGAGGCTGCCTTGCCCTCGCCATTCACCACGACAGCCCGGCTAGTGGCTAGCGCTGCCATCACTGAACTTGCGACTAGGACGATGAGACGGTTCCCGGAGCAGGCGTGGCCTTCGACCCCGCCGCGCAGGCATGATGCAGCGGAGTATGCAGTTCTTGCAGTCACCTACATGCACCGCTGCTGTGACCTCTGAAGCTGTGGCTGTGGCTGTGGCCACAGCCGCTGCCGCTGTTGCCGCTGTTGCTGCTGTTGCCGCTTCTTCTGCTGCTGCTTCTTCTGCTTTTGCTATGGGTAGTGGGCTTGGAAGTGAGTGGAGCTGCTTACCTCCAGTCTTTTGAGCTGGGAGTTGCTGTACGACTCAACCAGCCGTTGGGGGACGCGGTGGCTATTGGACCTACAATAAGGGTATTGGGGACTTTTTTGGCCCACTGCCCGACACAAATGAGCTGCAGTAGCGTTGGCTACAGGTATAGCTGTGGGTAATGCCGTTTTTTGTGCCTGGGCCTCCTGTCGCACCTACGCGAGAGGATCGGTGTATGTGCTCCGTTAAGTTTGTTTAAAAAGCACGGGACCAGGAGATCCCAGGAGCATATTGTAGGTTGCCTATTGATTCCTCCAAAAACGGATGAACGAGGTAACTCTGACAATCGCTGGGCAGGCCCTCTTGCCAACGCCACTGTCTTTGAGCATGCTGGTCCCCTTTTGTCCCTCATCTTCAAGTACTTGTCGTAGGATCGGCCTTTTGATCTTCTCCGGTCATACAGTTCTTAGCTCTGTGTGTCGCCCAGCTTTTCCAATAGGCGTTGTTGAGGTGAATCATCGACCGCAGTGAGCAAAGCCGGCTCGCTCAGCGGCCAAGTATAATTTTACCCGAAGCAAATTACTGCTGCTGTTGTTGTCTGCGGCGGTGGTAATAGCTGCAGCTGTGGTTGCTCTGGTCCTGGTTTGGCGGTGCGAACGGGTTCTCGAAAATCGAGTATGAGTCATGCCAGCACTTGGCTGTTGTATGTTGCCTGATTCGTTGTACTTCCAGTCGGATAGCCTGGTTGCAGGAAGGCAAAGGCAGAGCAAAGGCGACGCTGACGCGCTTGCGACTGATGCTTTGCAAAGTGTACTCCGGTTTTGGCGAGGACTTGGGCCGGAAGGGCACAGGATTTTTATGGAAAGAAGATGTGGCGAACCTCGTACAAGAGGAAGAGGACGAGGAGGACGAGGAGGAGGCCGGTTTCAACAGAAGGCTCTGTTTGCTGCCACGCGCCTGAGTTTCCCCGTGGAAGGAGGGAGCTGCAAAGAGAGTTGCCTTCGAGAGGTCGGTAGAGGAGGCATGCCCGTCATGCCCTCGTGTGCGCGATGTTGCAGCTACCGCGACGGCGATAGTCGAAACGCATGACAAAAATCATCAACTAGAGTCACTAAAGCGCCAACAGACCATACAGATTGCTGGAGGCGAGGGCAAGTTCCACAGTAGCAGCGGCGCTGCCTCTAACTTCGTAGCCGTGTATCTGCGCACTGCCTGCGGGCGAGTGAGTGGTCTGGAGATCGCAGGCTAAATCCGAGCAGAAGGGAGGACCGGTGGTGCGGGCCCGAAAGCACAGCTTTGCTGCGCGACAGATGTTGCAGTCCGGGCGTTCTGTTTTTCTAATGTCCGTGCCTAGCCAGGCGCGCAAAGGCACAGGTTTCGTCGACATGGCCGAGCTGCCCTCAGAGGAGGCCGCCTTTGCATCGCATGGCTTTCCTGCGTTCACACGCGTTCTTACGCACATTCATGCCCCGAAGCAGGAGGAGGAGGAGGAGCCTGGCGGGCAAAAGCACGTGGCCTTCGACCCTTCGGCGCAGGCACGGGAGCAGGGTACCTTGTGCGTGCGGGCTTTCTTGTTTTTCTTGTAGGCCTGCCGCTGGTACTCGTAGGGACGGATCACGTTCAACGTCGTTCTACTGGGTAATCGCGGCAGAAGTCAGACACGAGTGCATGGCATGGGTGAGTGGGGGCTTGTGCGCCAAAACGTGTCGGGTGACCACAGGCCGGCACAGATGCGGGTCCGGCAGCCGCTTGCCCACAGTTTCGGCGCATATGCCAACTGTTGCACTTGCGGCAGGTTGGAAGAAAGGGAGGCACATGGTAGTTTGCGTGGAAACGCCCTACTCCTGATGCCGAGGTGCGGCGGGGCACTGGCTTCGTCAGCACTGCCGATTTGCCCTCTGACGAAGAGGAAGCCTTGCCCTCGGCATTCACCACGAAAGACGGGCTGGTGGCTAGCGCTGCCATCACTGAACGTGCGACTAGGACGATGAGACGGTTCCCGGGGCCCGCGTGGCCTTCGACCCCGCCACGCAGGCCCAACTCTTCCAGTATCCGTCGAAAGCTCGGAGTTGCTTCTTCCGCAAGGTCCGGACATATTCATAGGGGATCATAGGGGGTCCTATAGAGGGACCAGGCTTTTGAAGGGGGTCTAAGAACAGCAGCAAGCATGCAGCAACCACAACAGCAGCAGCAGCAGCAGCAGCAGCAGCGGCAGCAGCAGCAACAGCAGCACCGGCAAGAAGAAGAAGAAGAAGAAGAAGAAGGAGGAGGAGGAGGAGGAGGAGGAGAAGAAAGAACAAGAAGGAGAAGAAGACCACCACCACCACCACCACCGCCACCACCACCACCGCCGCCGCCGCCGCCACATCAACCACATCCACCACAACCACCACCACCGCCGCCGCCACAACCGTCACAACCGCCACAACAACCACCGCCGCCGCCACCGCCGCCACCGCCGCCGCCACCGCCACCACCACCACCACCACCACAAACAGCCACCACCAGAACCACCACCAGAACCACCACCAGAACCACCACCAGAACCACCACCACAGCCACCACAACCACCGCAACCACCGCAACCAGCAAATCAACTTTCAGAACTTGTTACATTTTGCTTGAACGCCGAGCGAGCGGGCCCTGCTCCTTGCGCGCGATGCGTCATTGCCTGGCAGCATAAGGACGTTGCAGCATTCCAAGATATTCCAAGCGTTATAGATTGAATGCAGCATGCAAGAGAAAGCACTATGCCTGCAGCAATGACTCGAACACCTTCAGTCTGGAGATCGCAGCTAGAGTCACTAAAGCGCCAACAGACCATACAGATTGCTGAAGGCGAGGGCAAGTTCCACACTAGCAGCGGCACTGCCTCTAACTTCGTAGCCGTGTATCTGCGCACTGCCTGCGGGCGAGTGAGTGGTCTGGAGATCGCAGGCTAAATCCGAGCAGAAGGGAGGACCGGTGGTGCGGGCCCGAAAGCACAGCTTTGCTGCGCGACAGATGTTGCAGTCCGGGCGTTCTGTTTTTCTAATATCCGTGCCTAGCCAGGCGCGCAAAGGCACAGGTTTCGTCGACATGGCCGAGCTGCCCTCAGAGGAGGCCGCCTCTGCATCGCATGGCTTTCCTGCGCTCACACGCGTTCTTATGCACATTCATGCCCCGAAGCAGGAGGAGGAGGAGGAGCCTGGCGGGCAAAGGCACGTGGCCTTCGACCCTTCGGCGCAGGCACGGGAACAGGGTGCCTTGTGCGTGCGGGCTTTCTTTTTTTCTTGTAGGCCTGCCGCTGGTACTCGTAGGGACGGATCACGTTCAACGTCGTTCTACTGGGTAATCGCGGCAGAAGTCAGACACGAGTGCATGGCATGGGTGAGTGGGGGCTTGTGCGCCAAAACGTGTCGGGTGACCACAGGCCGGCACAGATGCGGGTCCGGCAGCCGCTTGCCCACAGTTTCGGCGCACATGCCAACTGTTGCACTTGCGGCAGGTTGGAAGAAAGGGAGGCACATGGTAGTTTGCGTGGAAACGCCCTACTCCTGATGCCGAGGTGCGGCGGGGCACTGGCTTCGTCAGCACTGCCGATTTGCCCTCTGACGAAGAGGAAGCCTTGCCCTCGGCATTCACCACGAAAGACGGGCTGGTGGCTAGCGCTGCCATCACTGAGCTTGCGACTAGGACGATGAGACGGTTCCCGGGGCCCGCGTGGCCTTCGACCCCGCCACGCAGGCCCAACTCTGCTAACTAGTAGCAGTCGCCAGCTCAAGCGCCCATGACACAGAAGACGAAGATCAAGTATTTAGATAGACATCCCGGCATGCAGGAAGGCAGCGGCGGGCTCGTGGCAGAAGCCTCGTGAAAACATGGTGAGACCACAATCACCATGACAATGACAAGCTTCATCGGATGCCCTGCCCAAATGCAAGCAGCCTTCAAACATTTCGAGGCTCGAGTTTCGACGGGAGCTGTAAAGAGGACGCACGAGCCGCGCGAGCAGGACTGCAGAATTTGCATTCGCGTGCCTGATGTCCTCAACTAAAAGGGGTCTCTCTGAGGGGTCGAAGTGAGGCAGAGAAATTGACGAGTTGAACAACTCAACGACTCGGCTGTTGCAGCGAGACATGACGGAACGTGCGGCGATGCAGGCTGAAGTCGACGAGGTTGCCGACTCCCCAAAGCAGGTGGGGATGGCTTCTCGATGTTTTTCGATGTTTTTTGCTTTCGGCGAATGTGCGGCCCGCGCGGCGAGTGCTTCGGACTGGCACCCGAAAGTGACCCGATAGCCTCCGACTCAACAGCTAAAAAAGCTCCAATACATCCAACACTGCAGGCTCCACGTCTTCAGGCCAGTGCTCGCTCGAAGACAGCACTGCCAACAATGTCGCTGCAGCCAGAGGTGCATTCAGGTGCATTCAGGTGCATTCCCTGTGCAGGTAAACAAGCAGAAGACAAGCCGACTGGGAACTGGCGACTTGGCGCAGCTCTCCTCGGATGAAGAGGCCGAGGAATTCGTGTCGCTGCAAGCTGGGGTGGGTTCGGGCCGAAGCCACGGTATCTTCTCTTTTCCCTCCGGGGCCACGGGAGGGGTCAAGTGACAATCGCCATGCCGCCATGCCAGAGTAGATCTCAACCATTCTCAGCCATTCTCAACCATTCTCAACCATTCTCAGCCATACCTGCATCGCTAGGCCCACTCGGCACAAGAGTCGAACTTGGATGCTTCAAAGCACATGTGCCAACACACTGCCAAGAGACTTGAGTGCAATGCAGGCAGAGGCAGAAGCTGGTTCGGACCGAGAGGTCGGAAATCGGCATCCTGTGCTGGGATGCGATTGCTGTGATCTGCTGTGGTGTGAGAGTCTCCCCTGGACAGGTTGTGAGCCACCCGAAGGTTTCTTTCGACCCAGCAGAGGTCTGCGGCTCGGCCAGTAGATGACCTCAGTTTTTCTGTTGTGCTGCGGCCAGGATGCAGAGCAAGACTCGGGAAATCGAGCGAAACCAACGGGAGTTTCGGCCTCAGATTTTGCCTTGGTCTTGGATCGGCAAGCAGTCCGATGGGTGCGAAAACTCGACGATGCAGTGTGCGGGAACCAAGAACAAGCCTTGAATCATTCAGAATTCCCTTTTCCAAGCCCGGCGCCGGCGGCCGACTTTTTACATTGTAGAAGGATGTGCTACCAAGGAAGGCGATGCAGTGTGCGCACGTGTGTAGGAGGAAAGCGCTGCAGAGGATAATCAACAGCCTGGAGCTTAAGTTTCTGGTTCAAGCTCATCTTACGCCCAGCTGCACGACAGAGGGTGCCCGAACAGAAAGGGAGCAAGGGCACCTGGATATGCAGACAACGGCAGCCACATCATGTGCCGAGTGAGCCATCGCTCCTCGCAGAGTCCTAGTTAGGGCGTCGCTGGCTTTGAAGGCTTCCCCATACCTTGGATTACCTGCCAATACAAGCATCAACCAGGGCAACCCTGTTGCAGCCTTCTGACATTTGACGGGGCTTAGCCAATGGCCGGCTGCAGATCCGAAATGCAAAGCCCGCAAACCCTGAACCCTGGAGTTAGGTGGCTGACGGTGGTTTGGCAATGAGAAAAGGCAGGACGTAACCAAGCGAAGAAGCCGCAAACACCAGCAACGACTGTTTTAAAATGAAAGATGCAAGATGACCGCTCGCCTCCCCATTCGACCTTGCTGATGCGAAGGTGGACATTCTCAGAGAAACGTTCCAGTGGTTTAGAGTTTAGGGTTTAGGGTTTAGGGCTCAAAGTTTAGGAATAGGAAAGCTAGATCGGAAGACATTGCGGAAAGGATCCCCACAAACACACATCCGGCAAGATCAGAAGACAAGAAAGATGCTAGCCAGCCCCCTGTGGCCTTCACAGAACAGGCATTGCAGAGGAGAGCCTTCAGTAAGTCAACGTTCTTGCGTTCACGCAGCCGCGCAGCAGAACACGGCACTTGAGGGTTGTTCTAAACCCCCGCTCTTGACACAGATATGTTCAGCCGTTTGTCTTGCTACTGCCAGCGATACGTCATGACTCGCAGCAAAGGTCTCCAGCCGCAAGGGCACCGGCTTCCTGCGGGCGGAAGACCTGCCGGACTTGCCTTCCGACGAGGAGGAGGAGGAGGCGGCCGAAGCCAATTGCGTTGCAAGATATGCTTGAACATGTTTGAACATACTGCGCCCGCAGGGTCTGTGGGTCAAGCATTTACACGGAGCTACGCAGGCACCGGAAGAAGATCACAGAGCTGTCTCCTTTGCCACATCTGCTGAGGACTGGCACTGTAATGTGTTCCAATTGGAAACCTCGCAATGAGTTAAGTCGTTCAGAATCTTCTAGGGAATCGCGAAAGGCCGGCAAATACTTGTACGGACAGCAAACTAGGCTGAGCCAGCAAGCGTGTCTGTTCTGCGCGGGCACATAAGCTCAATCCTGCAGCACATCAAGCTTTGACACTTGGAGGTGGTTAAGAGTTCGGATCGTCATGCACCAAGCTCCTCTAACCTCTGTGATCTATGCCAGGACCGACTGTTCATGTTTCTGGCCGACTGTTCATGTTTCTGGGGCTCTGGACCTGCAGTGCCTCAGACAACCTAATTACACCAAATCGTTTCTCGCGATTACAATGAAGTTGGGGCCCAAACTTGTCGGGGGCCTTCTGCACCAGCTCACTTTTACGGAGCAGCTTCCTGCCAAGAACAAACATGAAGAAACGCAAGTAGATTGCGCAGGAGTAGATCACACTTTTTCTATGCTTTTCTGAGAATCTGATGCAGAGCTGACGGCGCTGTGTGGGGATCACTCTGGGAAGAGACTTCGCGCCAGCCCATCTTTGGCCAAAGACCTGAACAAAGAGCCGACAGAGCTATTTGGATTTGCTTAGTAGATTCATCGCGTACATACTTGTCTCTGCAATTTGATATGGGTGTCTCGGAACAAATACAAACATCGGATTGGGGGCGGTGTGATTGACGTTTGCTGGCCGCAGTGCCATTTTGGGAATCTTATCTTGGGTTGCTGTCCGACCGGACATGCAGCAGGCTTATGTAGGCAGGTGCTAGGTCGCCGGATTGGCTCTGCAGCACCCAGCGCGGTGCCGCAGGGCTGGGAAGCTGGCATGTGTTGACCGCTGCTCATTGAGCGATGGCGGACAATGAAGTTTGTTTTCGTGCAGCATCAGATCCGACGGCGCAAACAACCACTGTACACGGAACCTGGCTGTGTTGTAGCTCCAACCGGATAGCTTGGCTGCAGGAGGGAAACGGAAAAGCGAAGGCGACACTGACGCGCTTGCGACTGATGTTTTGCGAAGTGTACCCCAGTTTTGGCGAGGCCGTGGGCCGGAAGGGCACAGGGTTCTTGTGGAAAGAAGACGTGTCGAACCTCGTACAAGAGGAAGAGGACGAGGAGGACGAGGAGGAGGCCGGTTTCAACAGAAGGCTCTGTTTGCTGCCACGCGCTTGAGTTTCCCCGTGGAAGGAGGGGGCTGCAAAGAGAGTTGCCTTCGAGAGGTCGGTAGAGGAGGCAAGTCCTAGCGTGATTCGCTGTGTGCACTGGGCACATCATCAAACAAAATCAGCGGGCATCTTTCTGTTTTTCCGCGTAGTTATTGTCTGCTGCTGACCAGTTCTCATGAAGACGAGATGTTTTGTTCCGAAACATAGCGGTCTCCACACCGAAAGCCTGGCCTAACTACAGTCTATCCACATGTTCTCGATTCTGCTTACATGCCAATCAGACTGGGGTTAGTTAGACAAGCAGCAGTTGGACCCGACTCCAGCACGAACTGTGTCAGCAATTTCTCGACGGAGTGCAGCAGTGCCAGCAGGAAGAGAACAACAACGACAACGTCGACTGCTGTTCATGCAGTGGATACAGTATCTACAACAGCGCTGGTGACAACAGCAACAACACATATTGACTATGGCACCAACTCTCCAGGTGGCTGGACGACACCCCAAAAACCTCGGCCCAATGCGAAAACTGATTGACCACCACAAAGACCTCCCTCCCTGTATTAGGGGCAAGGGATTGCAGGCTTCTGCAGTCGCGAACACCTTCAATGAGTCTTCCACGTATCTACTGTCGGCTGGCCTTTGAGCGGTCTGGAGATCGCAGGCTAAAACTGAGCCCAACAAAAGTGAGCCGGTGGTGCGGGCCCGAGAGCACGCTCCCACAGATGTTGGCATGTCGTTGTCTTTTTTTTCCTAATGTCCGTGCCTAGCCAGGCGCGCAAAGGCACAGGTTTCGTCGACATGGCCGTGCTGCCCTCAGAGGAGGCCGTTTTTGCATCGCATGGCTTTCTTGCGTTCACTGTTCGTATGCCGTATCCCCATTCATATTTTGAAGCAGGAGGAGGAGGAAGAGCCTGGCGGGCGAAAGCACGTGGCCTTCGACCCCTCGGCGCAGGCACGGGAACAGCGTAATTAGAGGACTTTCGGTTTTTAGGCATGATGCTGGTAGGGACGGATCATGGGTGGGGGCGCGTGGGCTGTGCCAAAACGTGTCGGGTGACCACAGGCCGGCACAGATGCGGGGCCGGCAGCCGCTTGCTCGCAGTTTCGGCGCAGATGCAAACGGAATTCAGTGCGATTGAACTTGCTACAAACAGGTTGTCCGAAAGGGGCACATTGTAGCTTGCAGGGAAGCGCCTTGCTCCTGGTGCCGAGGTGCGGCGGGGCACTGGCTTCGTCAACACGGCCGATTTGCCTTCTGATGAAGAGGAAGCCTGGCCGTCGAAAGTCACCATGAAAGATCTGTAGGCGCTGCCATCACTGAAGCCGCGACCAGGACAATGAGACTGCGGCCGGAGCCCACGTGGCCTTCGACCCTGCTACGCAGGCTCAACGACGTTGGACACGCTGGATGGGAGTTGCTTGTTTCATACATTTGCCTCCCCTATACACCAGCCGAATGCGCCCATTCATTTTGGCACAGGATGATGAGCACGTCCTTTTCCCACCCTGTTTTCTTGGGGGATGGTGCTCGGACGAGTTCGGCTTGCTGTTCGCCTGGAACGAATCTGCCGGTCAGCTCGTTCGTTCGTCGGCCTGTTGCTTTCGGACTCTCCTACTGCTGGTTCGGTTGCTCCAGTGAAAAATGTGGATAGCAGTGTGACTCGCAACTCCTGGATGTCATGCCCTGAGTTTTGTGACCACTGTCACAACACAAGAGCAGCAGCACCGGAAGGAAAACGAGAGCAGCGACGACGACAAGAACAAGAGCAAGTGCAAGAACAAGACCAAGAGCAACAGCAAGATCAAGTGTAAGTGCAAGTGCGAGAACAAGAACAAGAAGAAGACGAAGAACAAGAACAACAAGAAGAACATGAAGAAGAAGAAGAAGAATAAGAATCAAAGAAGAATAAGAACAAGAAGAAAAACAGACTAATATCAAGAACAAGAAGAAGAAGAAGCAGAAGAACAAGAACAAGAACAAGAAGAATAATAAGGACAAGAATAAGAATAAGAAACAGAAGAAGAAGAAGAACAAGAACAAGCACAAGAACAAGAAGAACAAGAATAAGAACAAGAACAAGCAGAAGAACAATAACAGTAACAAGAAGAAGAACAATAAGAAAAAAAAAAACAATAAGAGCAAAACAAACAAGAAGAATGACAAAAAACAAGAAGTATAACAACAACACAACAGAATAATAGCAAGAACTAATATCAAGAACAAGAACAAGACGAATAGCAATAGTGATAACAAGAATAAAAACAAGAAACAATATCAAGAACAAGAACAACAAGAATTACAAGAAAAAGAACAAAAAGCCAGAAAAAGAACACAAAACAAGAACAAAGAACAAGAAGAGCACAAAACAAGAAGAATAATACCAATAACAATAACAAGAACAAGAACAGGAACAGGAACATAAACACGAACAAGAACAAACACAAGACCAAGCACAAGCACAAGAAGAAGAAGAAGAATAATAAGAAGAAGAGGAACAATAATAACAAGAAGAACAAGAATAACAAGAACAGGAACGGGAACGGGAACGGGAACGGGAACAAAGAAGAAGAATAACCATAATAAGAATAAGGATAAGGATAAGACTAGGAATAAGAACAGGAAGAAGAACAATAACAAGAAGAAGAAGAAGAAGAGCAGAAGAAGAACAGTGCCAGATCTGCCCAGCAACGAACACAAACCGGAACAACCACACGTTCCTCGTGCGCTTCTCGACGACTCGGTTGGGGGCTCCCTAAATGTGAGAATGAGAAAAGCAAAGGGCGACAAAGGGATACTGTAGCCACTGTAGCCTAGACGAAATCTTGCCTTGCGGGGCAATGGTCTGCGTTCTCTCGGGCTCAAGTGACCCCCCCTGCTGCACAGGGGCCGGTGAAGCACCAGCACAATCACAACCACCTGTTCCGCTTTCTGGCTCTTGTGCCGCAGCTCGGAAGACAACGTTCAGGGCACGACTTCCGGAGCCGGGTTTTGCCCCCATTCTCCACCAACAACCACCAACACTGATCAACAACGATCAGCAACAGCAAAAGCAGCAATTCGGACAGCTGAAAACGCAGATGGTGCTGAGCGACAGCAGCAGCACAACAAGGGTGTACAGTTGCCTCAACAATGCAGGCTTTGCGTCAACAGCAGTGGCTGCAGCACTGCCTCGAACATCTTCAATGACAGATCTTCCGCGTATCTACTGTCTGCGGGTGAGTGAGCGGTCTGCAGATCGCAGTGATCGGAGGCTAAAACCGAGCGGAAGGGAGGGCCGGTGGTGCGGACCCGAGAGCATGCTCCCACAGATGGCATGTCGATGTCCGTGCCTAGCCAGGCGCGCAAAGGCACAGGTTTCGTCGACATGGCCGTGCTGCCCTCAGAGGAGGCCGCCTCTGCATCGCATGGCTTTCCTGCGCTCACACGCGTTCTTATGCACATTCATGCCCCGAAGCAGGAGGAGGAGGAGGAGGAGCCTGGCGGGCAAAAGCACGTGGCCTTCGACCCTTCGGCGCAGGCACGGGAACAGGGTACCTTGTGCGTGCGGATGTTCGATTTTAGACTCCGCTTCGGGTATTTTAGAAATGCGTCCGTGCAGTAGGCAGCGCTTGGTGGGAACAGAGTACGTTCTAGGGCTCCGTAGTGACGTTGGCATCAGGACTCGTAGCCTTCCACAATGCTCTACCCGCACGGTCATGACAGGCAGGGACGGATGCAGAGCCGGCAGCCGCTTACTCAGGAGTTTGGCAATGCTTGGCATGTGGCGCTGGTGTTTTGTGAGCAGGTTTAAAAGGTAATGTTCGGGTGGCTAAATACCCCCCCCCTCCCCCCAAGCCTACCTAGCTGGATTTCTTCTCTTGAGCCTTAAGCCTTAAGAAATGAGAAATGGTCTCTTAAACTTGAGACTTCCCGGGCCCCCAGGGGCTGAAGTCTGGGAGCTTTATCTGGAGCTACACCAGTTTCAATCGAGATCTGCTTCTCTAGAAACCGACGCCGAAGCTTCTGGAACTGTTTCTGGCCAGCTGGGATGAAAAGCTTCTCAGCCTTCCAGTAATAGCATGATGGTGCCAGTAACAGCAGGTGTAAGTTTTACAATTGTAACCCCTTTATCATTCTCACCGGACCCCCAAGGTGTATCATTGCGTCTACCCCTTGGGAAGGTCCGACAATTATAATGATAATACCAATGAACATCGACAGTTTGTCCTGCAACATGCTCAAACAAGACAGGAATATTTGCCACAAAAACGCATAGCAGCTGAATCTATAATTCAAGCTGCATCACCCAAAGCCCATCACCGAATGATCGTCACGTAATGTGCCCGACAGTGGATGTGAACGCACCACTTCCAGGCAAAAAGTTAATATGTCCGGCACCGAATTTTTCATCACCGAATGTTCGTCACCGAATACGCGGCGCAGCACCGCGACCACGAGGCAAGCTGCCCAGCTGCGCCTAACACTTTCTCCTATACCTGTGGGATAGGCTCATAGATACACGTACATTCCGCCCTTTTATTCTACCTCACTTCGCAGGCAGTAAATTGTTTAAATGTAGACCAGATTATGTTCCGTCTCACCTTCCGCAGCCTTCAGATCTGTGACTCTCTTCTCTTTATTTCATTCCCCTGGCTAGGTCTCTGTGCTCAGACTGCTAGTATGCACGTAGGAAAACACCGGACCCCCAAGATAAATCTACTTAGAAATATGAGCCCGGAACCTTCTCCTAATTGAAAGTGCTCCTGGACCGGAACCCCTGGGCCGGCCGAATGTTACAATTCCCACCCCATTGACTTAATATTGCACTCGGTTTAGTTTCAGTGGCCGCTGTTAAGCGGTTTTCCCGAAAGCTTATAGGAGACCCCTCCCATTGATGGGGGTGGTCCTCAATTATGCGATGTTGCCGGGCCGGGGGGTGCCAATTAGGGAAAACAAATGCTCTGCCCTTAAAAAAAGCAGCTGACAAGTACTACTAGTACTACTACATACTACTACTACGACGACGACGACCCCAGCCCAGATTATACAGGATCCCCGAAAGCCTCAAAATTGTGTTGGGGGGGGGACCCCTGGATACTAAACCGAGTCCAACATTAATGCTACGTTAACATCACGTCTGGAGACTACTTGAAGTTGCTCATTTTACAGTTGATGAGTGAGCGTACAGCAAGAATAGCAATTAGAGAATGCGATGGCAGGCGTTCAGCGTTCGGATGCGTGATTTCGCAACGACACTGGTTCATCCGAAGTAATCTGTCGCGACATGTCATAACAGTTCATAACATGCGCATTGGCAACATGTTCAAAGATTGACGTTGCCAGGGCTTGTGACTGTGTTGTATCGCAGAAAGCTGTGGATTTTCGTAGAGCAGAGCTTTGCTCGGAGGTTTGTACGCAAAACGCCTTGCCCTTCATGCCGAGGTGCGGAGGGGCACTGGCTTCGTCGGCGTTGCCGATCTGCCCTCTGATGAAGAGGAAGCCTTGCGCGCGACAGTTACCACGACGAAAGACCGGCAAGCGCTGCCATCACTGAAACCGCGACTAGGACGATGAGACTGCTGCCGGAGCCCACGTGGCCTTCGACCCCGCCACGCAGGACTAATTAGCAGTCGCTAACTCGGAACTGCTTGTTCCTATTTCCCATGTCAAATCCTACATCTTCTTTCTTTGTCCCAAACTTTGGGTTGTATGGCGAATGCCCGCGCTCAAGCGCCATGACGAAGATCAGCGTATTTAGATAGACGTCCCGGCATGCAGGAAGGCAGCGGCGGGCTCGTGGCAGAAGCCTCGTGAAGACATGGCGAGACCACAATCACCATGGCAATGACGAGCTTCATCGGATGCCCTGCCCAAATGCAAGCAGCCTTCAAACATTTCGAGGCTCGAGTTTCGACGGGAGCTGTAAAGAGGACGCACGAGCCGCACGAGCAGGACTGCAGAATTTGCATTCGCGTGCCTGATGTCCTAAACTAAATGGGGTCTCTCTGAGGGGGTCGAAGTGAGGCAGAGAAATTGATGAGTTGAACAACTCAATGACTCGGCTGTTGCGGCGAGACATGACGGAACGTGCGGCGATGCAGGCTGAAGTCGACGAGGTTGCCGACTCCCCAAAGCAGGTGGGGATGGCTTCTCGATGTTTTTCGATGTTTTTTGCTTTCGGCGAATGTGCGGCCCACGCGGCGAGTGCTTCGGACTGGCACCCGAAAGTGACCCGATAGCCTCCGACTCAACAGCTAAAAAAGCTCCAATACATCCAACACTGCAGGCTCCACGTCTTCAGGCCAGTGCTCGCTCGAAGACAGCACTGCCAACAATGTCGCTGCAGCCAGAGGTGCATTCAGGTGCATTCAGGTGCATTCCCTGTGCAGGTAAACAAGCAGAAGACAAGCCGACTGGGAACTGGCGACTTGGCGCAGCTCTCCTCGGATGAAGAGGCCGAGGAATTCGTGTCGCTGCAAGCTGGGGTGGGTTCGGGCCGAAGCCACGGTATCTTCTCTTTCCCCTCCGGGGCCACGGGAGGGGTCAAGTGACAATCGCCATGCCGCCATGCCAGAGTAGATCTCAACCATTCTCAACCATTCTCAACCATTCTCAACCATTCTCAACCATTCTCAACCATTCTCAACCATTCTCAGCCATACCTGCATCGCTAGGCCCACTCGGCACAAGAGTCGAACTTGGATGCTTCAAAGCACATGTGCCAACACACTGCCAAGAGACTTGAGTGCAATGCAGGCAGAGGCAGAAGCTGGTTTGGACCGAGAGGTCGGAAACCGGCATCCTGTGCTGGGATGCGATTGCTGTGATCTGCTGTGGTGTGAGAGTCTCCCCTGGACAGGTTGTGAGCCACCCGAAGGTTTCTTTCGACCCAGCAGAGGTCTGCGGCTCGGCCAGTAGATGACCTCAGTTTTTCTGTTGTGCTGCGGCCAGGATGCAGAGCAAGACTCGGGAAATCGAGCGAAACCAACGGGAGTTTCGGCCTCAGATTTTGCCTTGGCCTTGGATCGGCAAGCAGTCCGATGGGTCGTCGCTGGCCACCGCTGCCTTCGAAAACCACGAAAACTCTACGATACCATGCGTGCAAATCCAGGAAGGAGAACCAGCTTTCACCGACCTACAATGATTAGGCCCTAGGGTGACTGCATGAGGTATATGCACGGCTTTTCTAGGCAGCGGTACCTTTCTCTAAGATGAAAAGGACCACTTCTGATTGTCCCTCCTACTAGCTGGACCGCAAAGGTCTCCATCCGCAAGGGCACTGGCTTCCTGCGAGGGGAAGACCTGCCGGACTTGCCGTCGGAGGAGGAGGAGGTGGCGGAGACGGTGGAGGCAGCCAATGAGGCCGACGAGGCGCATTCGTGTTGCATCAAAAGATGATGGTGGGTGATATGGCATGGCATGTGTTCTACTTGCTGATCAGGACCAACTGAATGAAGCTTCAGAGCCATTGATCCTCAACAACGCAGAGGAGGATGGGGGGAAAAATGCCGATTCGCAAACGGAAAAGCTGTCGGACAAGCCGGATACGAAGGCTTGGACAGCCGTCATGCAAGTGTGAAGAATGAACCGTGCGTCTTGGAAACACATCTGCTAACAGCTAGCTAGCAGTTACATAGCAAGCCACAGTTACAGGAACACGGTAAACTGGCTGTCTTAGATGGATACAGGTTGATTCAAGTCAAGCAAAAGTTTCTACAGGGCGGCTTGCCAGAGCACTTTGGGATTGGAAAATCAACTCCGCATCTCCAAAGGATTTTTAGAAGAATGATTCTGATAAAAATGGCGAGGAAGTGGAGTAGGCATGAGAAGGTCTTTGGGGAAGATGCGAGGGGCCTCTGAGCCTCTGCCTGTCTCCTTGGGCCTGCAGATGGCCGAAAGAAGGCCGGAAAAAATGGCAGGACAGAAGTGTTCCACACAAGGGATCACAAGAAGGTCGTGTTTTCATAGTTTTTATGCCTTGTCTGTTCACATGCCTGGCTTGTCCGGCCTTGCCTGGAACTGGTACTCTGACACAGCTGCAACGCTGCCGCCACGCAGCACCGTCACCGGCGGCCAGAATACCACCCGGTGATACCCCGTGCCTGATTCCAGCACGGTGTCACATCACCTGCCGGCATATTTCTGCTTGTTTGCCACGGCAGAAAGCTGTACGTGGAGTGTCGACGTACTGAAACAAACGGACTATGGGAAAAGACGTACGGAAGTCGCAACATCCGGCGCTTCATTGACGATCACTGGGGTGATTTGGGCATGCTGGCACAAGGCTACACCGCAAGTGTGAAAAAAAAAAAAAAAAACATCCACAACCCGTCAAGCAGCCTTTGGGCCCGCTCAACCCTGAACAACGTTGAGCAAGCAGACCGAAGCCGAGATTGCCTCGAGAGGTTCCATGTGCAGGATATGTTGCAGAATCTTGTGCTGAAGTACTTGCGATGATGGGG